GAAATAATTTAAATTAATTTTTTTAGTAAAATACTATGTAAATTTATCATTCCAATTGAAGTTGTAACAAAATTTCGGAATACAGGTGGCTGTTTCATTATTTCATTTCATTTGTTAACAAATTTTATATTTTTGAAAAATTCCTTAGCCTTCATTATACCACAGATCTAAATATTTGGATTCAATGTGCCTAAATTCAACGTATCAAATAATTGATTTAGAAAACCACATAGCAAATTGAATTTGTAGTAAATTATTCCATTTGGACATGATAAGTTCCCAAGTATTATAAATTACTGTCTGACTAAATACCTGAACTGCATAGGAAAATTTCTTTTTTGGAATTTTTGCAGGATATATATGCCTTGTAGTAATTTTCACTTGTTGACGTCGGGGTTCTCTGATGTGTACCCTTTTCCTTCGCCTCTCATCATCATCACCACGATCCTAATCTAATCCATTGCATAAGCACTAACAACAAGTATAGTTCTGGATGTATACACATATTTTTCTTACGTAATTTTCAATCACGACTTTTACAAATTTGAGAATCACCAATTAGAAACCTTCGGAAATGCGTAGAGTTAAGCTGGGGTTGCAATTCTAGCATGACTATTGTTCGTTTCTTCTTCAATTTATCTTTGAGTGAACAAATTCTGACACGCAAAAAAAATAAACTTGTTATTCTTAACAGCAAACCGATGCCTACTTTGATATTATTTATTTACAATCTTCACAACGGAAGTAAGCACAAACAATAGCTTTTGTTTAATTTGTATGCAATCGTCATTACCTCGGAATGTATCAATAACATAATAAAAACGTACTCGGCTATTTTGGCATTCCTCCGAAGGATTAACCAATCGTTATAGAACACACACAACAGCTACTATATTGTTATAATTATAAATCCTTTCTAGACTGTCTCTCGTCCTGGCGCTCTGGAAGGGCAGGAATGTTGGGATAACCTGAAAATGGAACAAAGCAAACACCCCCAGTAAGTGACTGGCCAAGTGGAGCATGCGTCGCCTCTGATGATGGTTGGCGCTGGTAGTAATAGAAGACGAACATAATAAAACCATACAAAGATTTCTTCAAAAAAAACTGCCTCAGTCAAAAACGGTACCATATTTGTGTGCAACCAATTCTGTCACAGTAAGCGGACAACATAGCACTATAGTCCTCACTCCCGAATCCGACCATTGGTCTCCAATCCATGATTGAAGACATAAGATAAATAGTTGAGAAAGTGGCAAATGAAACTAAACCCTCTAAAATCTCAAATTACAACATCAGAGAGAAAACGTCAAAGAAAACGGCAACATCACATACAGAGAAACCATCAAAACAATTCAGAAAACGGGTATGCATCATCGCCCGACTCCACGCCTAGGAAGTTTACAAACGCCCATCCTAACTTATTACTCCAACAAACTAGGAATATCAGCGGAACATATCAAATTATTACACAACAGCAAAACCTCTTTATAACCCATTCCTATTTTTTTTACAGAACCCTTCAATTAATACACAGACCGAGTCAGCCGTGATTGTGTAAGTGCGACATAGGCTAAGTACACTCGGTCCTCTTTTTATGCGGTTTTGAAGTTATGCGGTTTATATTTCAAAACGCATTTTTTTAAACAACTATTTTAGACCATTTTGACACGTTTTGAAAGAAATTGGCAAACCATTTCATCGAAGATGATAATTCTGAACGAGCAGTTTCAACGCGAGCTTCATAATTGCATTTCTGGATATCAGGAATTGTACAAAAAAATAGCAAAGCCAATTCAAAGTTTAATCAACATGCGAAGTTGAGACTAATTTTACTTGTGAAGAATCATTATCTTCAGGACATAGATCTGATATGCTGACTATCTCTTCTAGTTATAAAAGTGATTTCAAACCAGTTCGCAAATTATGCCGAACACTCTCATATAATAATTCTAATGAAAAAATGTGAAGAAAGATTAACTTTCATAAAAAAATTCTGTATTTTTTTTTTGAATATTTTTCCGTATAAATTTAGAAGGAATATGTTAAGATTATATTTTTATGAAATTTAATAAACTTGTCTATGATTGTTAACGTTTGTATAAACTTATGAATAAACATTTGAGAAAGAATATAGTAAGACTAATTATTTTTCTGAACTGTAATAAATCCTTTTTATGCGATTTTTGGTATATTGTAACTCATTTATTTAGTTTTATGCGGTTTTAAAAAATTATGGAACGTATCCTTTATTTTTATACGTGTGTCTAGTCCTTTTTTGTGCGATTTATTTTTATGCGTTTTCCTGTGGAACGTATCATAAAAAAGAACCAAGTGTATATCATATAAGATGAAAGTCTCCAGGAAGAAAGAAGAAAAACTTATTCCTCTACCATGCTCACAATCTCTCTTCACATGATGAACTCAATAATCAAGCATATAGTCATAAGCTTCCCTTTCTAACATGACAAAATAAAATTAAAACATTCCAGTGTTATCTCGCCCTCTAATCTTCTAACCTCTTCATGCAGGAGCCAATATTTCAAAATATACTAACAAAGTACTTTAACATTATATAAAAAATACATTTATATTTATAAAATAAAGTAATGATAGGAAGAGTAATCAGAAGAATATGTAGATAGTTCTTAATTTCATCAAATTAAAGAAAAATATTTCTAAAGTACAAAATATGGAAATGGATATATAAAATGAATTTACAAAGTATTGTAATAAAATAATATTTAGAGAGAAACTGCCAATAGATTTCATGTAACAAAACAAAGCAAAAAAAAATGCAGCATCAAACAAAGTAGCATTGCATATTTTTAATCGATCCTGCAAATGAAAGCTTTCATTTTGTAGCATTCAGCTTGACGTATACAATATGATAGAAACAGAAAACAAAACGTGCAAAAAAATGCAAACATTTAAAAAAAAGTACTAGTAGTTTCCATCAAAATAAACACAAAAATATAAAATCAATAACGGGGCACGTGATTTCTAAACAATTTAACTTGAAGAAAAAAAATATTATTAACTATTGTCATAATATTTTAATATCAGAATGCATAACAGAAGTGAATATAAGATTCTTAGAGAATTGATGACATGAATTAAAGTTATGGTTACACTGGGAAAAGTTAAAATAAAAAAAGACTGTTTCATTTATCTGCTGCCGCCTTGGAACTACTTTTTTAGAAAAGTTTCCCAAGTGTAATGGCATTTTTAATATGATAGTGATCTATTGCTGTCCCAGATATCCTTTATATTGCGCCTCAATGAATTCCACAGAATTCAAGTTTCTATAAAAATATCCTTCCAATAATGTAATTTTATTGAAACTTTTCTTAATAAAATTATATTTAATGGTGATAACTTCTTTTTAATAATATAAATAAATTTCTGATTTACTACAATTTTATAGAAAATTGTTGCAATAAATAATAATAATAATAATATTTATAGAAGCAGAACAAAATAAAAAATCAATACAATAATAGAAATATAATAAAAACTGCTTCAAAGGGCTATTGACTGGGGCTGAGTGGTAGCCCTACCCACGAGCTAGTAGGCGCCGGTTCAAATCCTGGTCAAGCCAGGCCCTTTGTGAACCCTCTCGGTGCTTGCAGCAATAGAGCATCATAGAACCTTTATCCAAGTCGATGGACAATGACAGTGTTAAGGATAGCAGCAGATTTACAGTCAAAGTAAATAGTGAAATCGCAGAGCATCAATATACAACTGAAGTTAACCTACAAGTTGTCAGCCAACCAACAAATTATCATAATGGTAACTATCCACTGGGAAAGTTTATCAATTGCATGTCAACCGTGATCTTAAATTTACTGAATGTTCACATTGATGAACAGATTGTGAATGCAATTATACGACATTAAAAAGTAGCTTATCTCAACATAATAAAACAAATTTTTAAAGTGAAATTCTTTGGAATAAAAATAGGAAATAAATAGTTTTCTTTAAAATTCAAAAAAAAAAATAAAATTATCTACATACATACAAACGATTATTGATCGCCGGATATTTATTGTAGAAATTGTTACTTTCTTTCTGTTAAAATATTTAATATGTTTTCTTTCAAAACTTCGTACTTGCAGCGTAAACTACAAAGTTTTACTAAACTGTTTTAACTGTTATTAATAGAAAAAACTACTTAGTCGTATAACAAGGAATAAATTCAGCAAAATGAATTTACAAATCGTGTATAAAATGGTTAAACAACAATTGTAAAGGATTATTGATCACATGTTTTTCTATCCTGAATAATATATTTATCATTCGATTTTTTTTTTCATCCAATTCAAATTAAAAACAGGAAATGAAAAATAGGTTTGCAAATCGATAATTCAGTGCTGATTGTTTTTCACCTCACCTCACAGTAAATAGATTTCAATTTGAAATAAATACATTTTCCACTAAAAATGTAAACTAAAATATACAGTTTCATATTGACTGTTTTCAATTTCAATTTACCAAAACATGTTTTTGACTAAATTCTACAATTGGTTTTGATATATACTTTTATTGGAATAAAATGGACAAATAAAGTTTATTTAATGTAAATTAATAGAATCAAATTACTATAACTAAAGATTAATATTTTTTATTACAATAATATAGAAAAAGGTTATATTTCCTATAGTCATTTCAATAATTAAAAACATTTTATATATAAATTACTTTATATAATAATAAAATTTTAAATTTCGTCAAAGAAATTTGTTAATTTTTATGAATAACATATAATAATTATTATACATTTTAATGTGAACTGGAATCAATGAGTTTGTAGATGACATTCTAATGATTTATACGTTTTTCATATGGGTGTAAATTACACAAGCCGTTTGATTAAACTTTTTTTTTGGTTGATTTGAAAATGTTTATTCATTATTGTCTGTAAGGATTCAATTGTAATCCTTTTTAGCAGCTGTAGTTGTGAGAATATTGCTGTAAAAATTGAAAGCCTGAAAGGGACTCACATGAAAGAAACGAAGAGGTACATTGTCGTCTAGATATCATTAGGGATAAGCACACGTTTACATGCAGACACACTTATATATCACTCCATTAAAATCCTGGCACAAGAGCGCGAACTATAAATATAATATGTGTGAAGGTACGAACTAAGTAACTATATTTAAATGAACGCAGCAGCAGCAGCACAGCCGAAGACCGACTTGAGGATCAATTGTTCTTTGGTCGAGTTGTATTGTATTTATTAGTCCGTGAAATGTGTGACGAGATTAAAATAGTTTCAAAATGGAATTGTTTCGTTTCGCGTTGGTCCACATGGCATCGCGACGGGCCTCTAGGAACAGAGTCCAACGGAGGTACGGCGGGCACTGACTGGCGTCGCGACGCTTATCCTCCGCATTCGCATCCGCGTTGAGCACAGATCCAGCTACTGCGTCCGCATCTGTATGTATACATATATACGCGAAAGGAGGATCGAAATAGAACGTACTATAGCGACGACGCTGACGACGCCGACGCCGCTTGGGACATTTACCAAATGGAATTTTTAATATTGTCAACGCACCGATGACAAAAAAAAAATATATAAAACATACGCAGCAGAGGGTCTCTTCTTTGTATCTTTGGGTCCTGCTGGCCGTCGAAATCACCGCTGTAGCTCGAATGGTTGTATGAAACATGTATGCCGCAACAACCTTGGACTTCAACTTTAATCCTAATTACTTCCACTTCAAGTTCATTACTCTATTTATTTTATTTACCTTCGTTCCAAAATTATATTTTATTACCTTTTCTAGCACAATTAATGAAATAATTGAGAATAGTCAACTTAATAAAAATGTTATAAAGTTGTCTGTCGAATATGTTTTTGCTAAGACTACTTGACTTTTCTTTAATTTTTCAAATACTGCTATACACTATATTTGAAAAGGGCAATAATCTCGAGATTTAAATTGCAGCATTGAATTTAGGAATAATATTTGTTTTTTTTCTAGGAGTATAGAAACATAACATGTAAATAAATTGATTCCTGCAATAACAAATACTTAAAAAATATGTATTGAAAAATATTTGTAACATATTTGGAAAGGAATTCATTAAATAATTTATTGAAAAACTTTTTTAAAATCTGTATATTTATAAATTTCAAGTGAATTGCTTTTGTAGTTGCATTTATTTATTTTTTTTTTCAATTTCGGACAAATTGAATTTGAATGGAATGGACAATAATTCGGTTTTGTATGTTATTGTTATGTATTTGTGTTCATTTAGCCCAGGATCAGGTACTTTACACTCGTTACCACCAGAAAAAGATAATTGGCCTTGACGTTGACAGCAAGTGTAGATGATGCAACAAGAACGAAACTGTCAGCCACATTATTGCTGACTGCACAGTACTAGCACCAACGGAGTACACGCACCGTCACAAAAAGATCGCTAGCTATCTACACTGGTAAATACTCAAAGAACTTGGCCAGCAAGTTCCTGAGCATTGGTATGATCACCAGTTTACCCCGGTCGTAGAAATACCATAGGAGCTAACCGACCGGACATCATCATCCACAACAAGAGGGAAAAGCGCTGCACCTTAATCGACGTTTCCGTACCAATTGACGCAAACATTGCCGTCAAGGACATCGAGAAAAGGTGCAAATATAAAGACCTCGAAATTAAGATTGCACGCATGTGGAAGACAAAGACCAAAGTGGTTCCGGTTGTGGTTGGAGCTCTCGAAACTCTGAAGATCGGATTCGAGAAATACCTGGAAGAGCTACCATGTAGAGTTAGCGTTGAGCAGGTGCAAAAGATTGTACAGGTGGGAACGGCCCACATACTACGCAAGATCTTATCCATCTGCCAATGAACGCCCTAAGGCCCAAGTCACAATAAATGAAATAATAATAATCATATTAGGAGATAATCATAACAATATAGGAAATATCATAACATTTTATATAAAATAAATTCTATGAACCAAATTCAAATACTATTGAAACGAGCAGAAAACAAAACGAAACGGAACTGAGAGAAGGGTGATTGTTGCGTATTTCAATTCATAAGGTATATTAAGATTTCGAGAATAATACAATTATATACAGTTTAAACAATAACAAAAAAGTTACTATCGTGTTAGAATAACAATGAAGATTTTGCAATTGTAAAAATATTTAGAATAAATTGTTTGATCCGCAAAATATGATATAATTAAAAGTTCTGTAATAAAAAAAATATGGATTTAAACAATAACAAATCAGCACAGTTATTTATTTATTTATATTTGCTTTCATTATCGCGGTATGCTGGTCAAGTTAATTAACTACTTAATTACTAATTTGTATATGTTTAATACAATAAAAATATGTATAGACTATCGTCGTTTTATTAAATCAATTCTTTATAATCTTTGTTGTCTAGTGTAACTGTCAAACAATTAATTAATCACTATTACATGATACATTAATTTCGAATTAGCCTTTGTTGTAAGCAAATTAACCACGTTTAATATAATTAAATAACAATAAAACAATGCGTTCGAATATTCTAGAAATCTGAAATTACATAGCAAGGGAACCCAAAAGTTATACCACAATTGGTCTAAGCACAGTTCACATGGTATTTAAAGTTTGCCAGAGGTCGAGAGTAAACCTTCGTCAAACTCTATAGTATACTTCTGCAGAAGGAGGGAAAGGTTCCAATGAATAATTCATATAGTCTTCGGGCGACGGAAGAAAAGTAAAAAATAAATAAATAATAAATTATAATTATAAACCGTGGATCGAGATGAGATGGAAATGGAATTATTTTCAGAAATCAAATTGCACTGAGAGCGGAGCGTAATAAAATGCTGGACGAATCATTGAAATTATAGTGTGCAGATTCCATTTCTCGTGCGAAACGTAAATTATAGCGGCATTCCTGTCTCGGAATTATAAACGCAATTATGGCGATGCAATTTCCGTAGCCTAGGTTCCCCTCGTTGCAGACACCTAAAATTATCAAAGAAAGTGGAAATTAATCGAATCTCGACTCTCATAGGGCACCTTTCAACCCTTATTAATATGAACATATTCGACGACGTGCGTCTAAAACAGTGCCGCAATGCGGAAGGACCCCAATACATATTTGTTTAGGGCCCTCAAATAGTAAAAAATAACTGGTGTTTAGGGCCCACAATTTTCGTAATTTCGCCCTCCCAGAACTGATAGAACTGATATTCTGTCATCAATTTTTGTAAATGTTGTTTAGAGCAATTTGTCTGAGTACGCATTCTAAAATGGAGACACCTAAAATGATTATGCTAGTGTGCGAGGGATGAAGGTAACTGCTAAATGCGAGACTCTCGATATGTTTTATGCATATCATATTTCGTATACGCGTAACGGCGGAGAGATGAAAAGAAATTGGATTTTAAAATTCATTAAGAGTCTCTTGATTCATCCCTCTAGCTGCTGACTACATCCCTGCTCACTTTCAATGCAAACTGGAAGACTCAATTAAGATGCTGAATAGGACATTTCGAAATACCTTCCAATATTATAAATAAACAAGTTACAGGTGTAATGTAATGTCTGCGCTTCGTAGATTAGAGTATTCCTAAGATTCGAATTGATTCGATCCAGATCCTAAGAAAATATTTTCTTAAATACTTGGCATAATCACGTTATTCATGCACCCACTGATAAATGCGATAGAGATTATTTCTATTATAAACCAAAATAAACACAACTATAAATATAATTGTTTATTTCTTGGGAATTATTTATCTTTGAATCATGCTCAAACCAAAAATAAAATTAATATTCAAAATGGATGATTGTCGGGATTGCATAATTCTGACTATATCTAAATCCCGACCACCATAATCCCAACTGTATCAAAATTTCAACTATATCGAAAATTTCTATAAATTGTAGTCGGGATTATGATTGTCGTGATTATGGTTCTCAGGATTTTGATACAGTCGGGATTTCGATATAATCGAGATTTCGAACGTCGGGATTTCGATACACCACTCGGGATTTCGCACGTCGGGCTTTCAATAGACGGTTGATACTGTTAGTGCCATCTACTATTGAAAATATGTACTGTAAAATGTTTTCTGTGCTAATATTTTTATTGATTTTATGTTCTTAATTTATTACCTGCGAAAGACAAAGTGAAATAAATCAGTCCGTAATTAAAACAAAAAGCAGTTCTCGATGAAGAAGAAGACTAATTGAAGCTATGATCGCGTATATCTCAAAATTACTATACGAATAAGCAAAACACAGACCAAATAAATGAATCGAACGAAATAGAGATCGATAAGTACCTAAAGGATGATATAAATAGTGCTGTAATAGAAATTAGTAAATAATTAACTATAGTAGCTTTATAATGAAGAAAAATTGAAGAATTAAAATTAGGTTAATTATAAAAAATAAACGTAAATTCATATTTGTGTTATTTAGTCTTAAAGAGTGTCTTAATAATAGCTTTTATGAGCAGCTAATTAAGTAATATTAATTAATATTGCTAATAAAATTGACTTGACAACTAAATATTGACAATTGTGTTATTTACAAAACAAATTGTTCCCTAACAAATAAAAGAAGTGCAATGATTCGATGAAATCAATGGAAATCCATTGGTAGCTCTGCATAACAGTGGGTTGGTATTGACAAGTGCAATAGTTGGCGCTTGCGTAATTTCGTTGTTTAGTAGGAACAAGTAGAATAAGGAAATTGTTGTATTTATTCTTCGAAAATAAAAAAACACAAACTGTAATAAAAAAAAACGGTAAGTCTTAAAGTCTATCTATTAACTAATTACTACATTATTCTAAGGTATTTCTTCAATTAAATTATAAAGCGGCTAGTGTAATGAGGGTTATGTGCCTTTCATTATAAACAAAGCAAAGTCAAGGGGCTGATTGCATTTTTGATAACGAGTTTTTTTTTTTGTCGTACTTTGCAGTGTACTAAAATGGCAGATCAGCAACAATTCTTCTTAAAATGGAATGACTTTCAAAGTAACATGGTCACATCCTTCAGGCATCTGCGAGATGAGAAAAGCTTCACTGATGTTACTTTAGCCTGCGAGGGTCAAACATGCAAAGCTCACAAGATGGTCTTATCTGCATGCAGTCCTTACTTCAAAACATTATTGGAGGTATTACATTAATTTTAATCTATCCACATATTATATGCAATTAATCATTGTCTGATTAAGGAAAACCCTTCAAAGCATCCAATCATCATATTGAAGGATGTGGCGTACAGTCATCTGCAAGCAATTTTAGAGTTCATGTATGCAGGTGAAGTTAATGTGAGCCAGGAACAATTACCCGCCTTCCTGAAAACTGCAGACCGACTCAAAGTGAAAGGCTTGGCTGAGGCTCCGCAGGCCATCAAAAGGGAATAATAATTGACTTCTAACCAAGCAATTCTGGTATATAAAAAATATATATATAATTTTTGGCATTCAGTATTTTAAATGATCTTTACAAAAAAAAAACATATTTTATTTGGTTAATATAACAATGTTTGGTTTAAATTATCAAATAGTACTTTGTGTATAAATGGGGGACCTTTTATTAAGTCTATTGTAATTACTACTTAAGGCAGTTACTTTTTATTTTCAATTCTTTTTAATTAATTTGTGAATAGATGTTTTTGTTTCATGACTCTTTAGTTGCAATCTCTTTAAATAGGCTGAAGAATCTTATAAAAAGAAAAAAATATTAATATAAAATATTTAAAAACTGAATTTTATTTTTGATAAATGTGTTTCACCACAAATAACAAGATGATGACAATGAGCAAGTCTGTTGCAGTTCCAGTTTAGTACTTTGCATTTCATGTTTCAGGTAGCCGTCATATGACACATACAAATTGTAATAGATGAAAATATTTAATACCATAATTACCAAGTTGTTACCACTGTGAGACAGTAAATATTACTCTTTCCTTTTTTTTTTTAAATTTGAATTTCAAATATTCAACACGATTGTTTGATATAATTTGTTCTTTTCTTTTTCTGTGCATATTTTAGATATATTTTTTTATTATAAATAATTAAGTTTCCTTTTTTTTATAAATATATATATTGATCAGCTTCCTAAGTTACAATTTTTTTCAGATTAATCTATTAAAATTGTAATAAATAATGTTGTAAATTGAACTTAGTTTCATTTTCCCTGCGTCACCCCCTTTCTCTTTAATATTAGTGACGACCAAACTTGTTCGTTCTTAACATCGACTTTTCTATTTAAAAAATTGATTCTCATTCGAATTAATCAGTTTTTCAACTGTTCCTGATTTATTCGTATATTTTTAACTATCACATATTTGATAAAAAACAAATTTTATGGCGAATAACGATTCGAGCTGAAGGTCAATACTATTTAAAGATCTTTATTTAAATTATATATATATATATTTCCATTTGATAAATAATGTATTAGATAGTTATTAGCAAATAAGATTCGTATTGTTTTACGTACGAATTTCATGTGTAAATGCAGTTCTTATGAAAGAGATATACAATCTTTGACTTATAACAGTAAACTCTTGAGTGAAAAGGAAATGTTCTGACCCAACTCAAGCATGAAATGCATTTTTTTCTCCTTCAAGGTCACAAAAACATGAATCATGCTTTCACAAAATATCTTCTTACAAATGTAAATTACTTTATCCTATATTGGTAAATCCGTATATAAATATAATGGTGGAATCAATCAAGTTTCAACTAAAAAGTCTTGTTTGTCCTATACATTTGGTATATTTTGTTGAAAATAATTATAAGTTCAAATACATAAATAAGTAAAATATGAATACATGATGAACGTATTAAATGGAAAAATAATGCGGATTGTTAAAAAGAAATAAGTGTTTAGAGAATAGTTACACTGCAGTCGATTTATTTGTTTTTCTTTACTGCTATAGCTTTAATCAATTTTGTATTCAGGGTATTTGTAATTGTAGACAAATATATATCGCAAATAAATACTGCATCAATTCGTTGCATACAGATATAATGCAAATGTGTTGGATTTCTGTAATTATACCTTTCATTTTGATTTTATGCTAATTTTCATTACTCCCGAATTATTTGCAATAGCAGTTAGGATCCAAGTTTTTTTTTAACAAATTAGACCTGGGCTGAAGAACTTTATTACCTACTACCCCAAAAATATATTAACCGTTTAAGGAGTTTGATGCATTGTATGAAGTGGCACCCTTAGTCAGAGACGTCGGTCAATCGGGTGAATTCCTGGGGCTACGGGCTAGGGGGGCCTCACAGAGCCAAATTGAAATAATTAAGAAACTATAATCACAAAAATAGTAAATATTATTCAGTGCAATTTGATTGCACTACAGACATTGGCCATGTTGAACAATTAACTTTTCCAGTTCGAACTGTTCAATTGCCTTATGAAAATGATATCGAAATTAAGGAATATTTTATTGGTTTTACAGCAATTTATACGAGAACTACGGGTTTTGATTTAACTGAAGTGGTAAAAACTCAAATAGACAATTTGGGTATTCCTTTTCAAGATTGTAAAAGACAGTTCTATGACAATGGGGGCGAACATGGTTGGTAAAAAACAAGGAGTTTAAGCAAGAATTTTGTCAGAAAATCAACATCCATTTTTTGTGACATGTGCAGCGTATACTTTAAATTTATTATTAGAAGACATGGCTTCGACTGTTCCAATGGCAATAACACTTTTTAGTGTAATTCAAAGGTTCTACACAACTTTTTCTAGCTCAGCTGCAAGATGAAACATTTTAAAGAAATATCTAGACACTACTTTAAAGCCACTATGCGACACTCGGGGGGAGTGTAGAATAAATACTATAAATGCTATTATATATAGGCGAAACAATAAATGATTCCAAAATAAAAAGCGAATCAATATCATTATAGGAATACGAAATGAATTTTGAATTTGTGCTGTCAATTATCATCTGGTATGAACGTAAATACCGTTAGTAAAAGTTTACAAAAACCGATCATTCGACAGCAGTTTCTCTTATGAAGGGCTTGGAAAACTTTTTGAAACACTTTAGAAATGTTGGTTTTGCGGAATCAAAAGTCGAAGCTGAAAAATATGTAAAAATGTGATATTCCTCCAGAATTAAAGTATAAAGTATAAAAATAAAGAATTAAAAATAGTATTATAAAAAGAAAGCGCCATTTTGATGACGAGGAGAAGATTCTTGAGTTAACGATTCTGAAATTAACTTTTATCGAGAATGCTTTTTACAAATAGTAGACCAAGGTATAATTTCAACTCAGAAGAGATTTAAACAGCTAGAGAAACATAATGACTTATTTGGCTTCCTATATTATATACCAAATTTAAAATATGAAGAAAATGACAAATTTAAAAAGTTTAGTATAGATTTGCATCTAGCATTAAATTATGATGATGACAACAATGGAGACATTAACGGAAATGATCTTTATGAAGAAATAAAAGTGTTCTGTAACATTTCCTGTGAAGGCATATGTGATTGGTCACCATTAGAATGCTTTAAAAAATCACCAAACAGGAAATGAATTTCCCAATTTAAGTATGGTATCCTTAACACTGTCATTGTCCATCGACTTGGCTGAGGGTCCATATGCTGAACCTCATTCATGACCACGTAATTTTATCATAAGCATATTTATTTATATATCATGATGCGAATATATTCGTCATACAAGAGGCCATGACGAATATATACGACATAACCACTAAAGGCGTTAATTTTCTCTGTCATTACTATGATGGGAGCGATGGGGTGTGCGTATTCTAATATTTTTCATGGATACATAGATGATAAACATGGGGAGGAGGTTGTTTGTTGAGATACATAGAATTTTACAATAATTATTAAACGTTCTCATTAAAGCCAAGAATTCACTTTTACCCTGTGGTAATGTATATAGGATTTCTGACCCCTGATACATTATAAATCCGTATAAATATTTAAGGGTAAGTTAGTACATGTCAATAATTTTATTACAATTTATTATTTTTCACATAGATACATACACAATACATACATATATTGAAGTTTTAGAGCAATTTAAGAAAATATATATTAACAGAGAGATAGATATCTATGTTAGTAATTCGTTATGAACATAAAAAAATAATCAGTCTACTAAATAAGTATTTGAAAATATTTGTTTACATCTTTGAGACATTATTATATACATATACACATATAATTTGAAAGTTTAGAAGAATTTTGGAAAATATATATTAATATACATATCAAAAGCAGTCTATGAAACAACTATTTAAAAATAGTTCTATGCACATTATTAAGACATAAATTTAGTTTTCTTTTAGTATATTTTTTGATAAACATTTATACATTTTTACATTGACAATCACATATAATTCTGATTTATTTTTATAGACATTTAATACAATGTATACCGGTAAATAGTAATACTTGGTCATTAGACCAAAACATTCACATTTATCAATCTGTATGTTATTCCAAAATGTTTTTACTGTATACAGTTTAGTACAATTTTGGAAAATATTTATTAAGGTAGACAACGTTAAGAAAATAAAAAATAGTATGTGAAAATAGTTATATACATTAAATATATGTAATCTTACAACTAATTTTCACTTACTTTTTTTTGAGATATTTTTTATAAAATATTTATAGAGTTTTACATAATTTATCTGTATAGACATATAATACATTATAGACAGGTAAATAGTAATACTAGTACGTATAGGTCAAACATCTCTGCTCTTTATTAACCTAAAATTTAAGTTCAGAAGAAAATACTTTAATGAGTTTAGATCACAGCAAATAATCTGGGTAAAAAATATATTGATAAATTCGCAAATTTTACTGTACAAAAAGTGACTTCCATACATCTGGTGCCATGCTGAAGCCATCGATATGATGACAATGTAAATAAATGCAATAGAAATATAGAAGAGATAATATAATTTGAACGTGCCGCAAATCAGGAACTTTTTAAATACATAGAAATACGGTTTGTTAAAATTATACATATAAACAAGTATATTTTTTATAAATTTGGAAGGAGGTGGAGGCATTGATCAATACAAACTAGTTGTAATATAAATTGGAAGCTGGACTGCAATATGTGCTTATCCAACATGACTCAAATTAGTTTCCACTTGTGCATATAAACCGATTTTAATGATCAAATATGCTAATACATATTTGAGCATACATGTTACTAGTGTTTGTTACTAGTTTATATTGATCAATGTATTACATATATATTGAGAAAATGTATATATTCATATTTGCAATACAAAACATATAAAAGTGGTAGAATTTATGACTTATTTGTTTTAGTTTAGAGCACGTGCAAATTTTGACAGGATTTTGATTTTGATCTTTTGGTGTCCTTTAAACATAGTTTGTGGAGGACATCGCGAGCGACGTTCATATTAATGCTAGAGCCGTACAATTTATATTTGTTCTTACCGCCTGCTATTGCGTTCTTCCTGTCTCGGTCTTCCCTTAATCTTATTTGCTTGAGGACGCCGACGAGCAACTCATCCACATTATGCTGTATACCGCTGGATGTTTCAATAAATTTACATGACCGAGTAACAGCAAGAATCTTTCCATCTGAAAAAATATCAAAATGATGTTACCTTTGTACCAAATTTATGAATAAACATATTTCTTTAATTCTTTTTTTATTAATGATTTTTTATTATTTAATAATATTTTTTGTAATGTTTCTTTTTGTTTAATTTATTTTTATTCACTGCATGTTATCAATAAAGTGAAAATATTAATTTGGAAATTCGTGGAAATGGAATGGAAACCGCATCTATAGAATTTTGCGTTATTGTATTTTCAATGTATAAATAGCTATTGAAATCATTCATTCCAGTGTATTTGAAATATTCTATTATTATTTTTTTTTCTCTAATGAATTAATAACAGCGTTCATAGTGTTATAATCTTGTCAATAATATTGGAGCAAGAAGAAACAATTCCATTGTATATATTAAAATAGGACTTTATAAATAAAGGCTGTTTACAGTATGGATTAATCCACCCGATTTGTTTGATTCAAATGCCCACTTTACGAGGATTCTTTGAGACTAACGTTTCTTTTATTTTAAATTTTACTTTTCGTGTATTCTAAAGTTCTTTAATCTCCATACTAGAAAACCATATAGCATACACAGACAATTGCAGTTATAGTCAATAGTATTTTCATTTGGTAGGCTTGAGGAAAAGTTAATAATAAAGTGCTGTTTGCTAAAAGCTTACAGGGAGCTAAAGCCGCGGACCTCCGCGAGTATGTTTAGTTTGTTATGTAAACACAATCCAAGAGTATTTGTACAATGTTATATACATTTAGGAGATTAAACCCTGTTATAACCACAGATTACCGAATGACCTGTGAAAACGGCATTACCATTTCTACTTTTATCGATTCTAACGAGACCCATGATATAAAAATATATGAAAAAAAAATGTAATAATAGAAATTTATTGAAATACAAAACTATTCAAATGTACAGACTCAAATTATAATTTATAATATGTTTGTTTAAAATATTACAGTAAACTAACCCAAAAAAAATAGTAAAATTGAATTTAAAATGTTTTATGTTTATGTAAAATAATTTGTAAAAAAAAATATAAAAAATCTCTTTCTTGTCTCATTATAATAATAATAATGTAATAGTGAAGTATAGAAATTCGGTGATGTAAATAAGTTTGTTGCTAACGGTTATTTTTCATTATAAATCAAGCACTAAATAAGTTTGTACTAACTTTTCTCAAATCTACTCTTTGATCACACTCGTACAACATTGGACTCTAAAAGTTAATTATATTTATTTTACACTACAGCTCTTGATGTTTTTTTTCAATTTAAATATGATGTCTGCAAAGTTTTAATTGGATTTAGTCGATATCTATACAAATAATGACATGATGTATATGGAATCTGTGAATCTGTGAGCAAGCTTTGATGTACCTTTGTCTAAAAACTAAAAGGCAAACGTAATTGAAAATGACAAATAATAACATGAGAAACGGGCATTAATCGGATTAAAAGTACTTAATAATACAAAGGCACTTACCTTCCACTGTAATAACCCTCGACCTGACCAGATCGGCTTTGTTTCCAACAATAACAACGCTCTTCTCCTGGATGTAGTCTTCCTGCCACAAGTAATCCAGTGTTTCCTCGGCATAGTCGAAACTGAGTTTGGACACGATAGAGTAGACCACGATGCACGCATGTGGTTCGTACGTGCTCAAACAATTTTCCACCTGAATTAAAGAAGATCATATTATGATTAGTGTACTTGATTATAGACACCTCTTGGTTTGTTGAGCTGCAGTTCTCTTTGTAGTTCTTAAGACAAGTAATGCCAGGAAATAACATTAGATTACTTTATACACTGTAATTATACTATTTTTGAAATTAAATTAGCCTTCTAAAATATACAATTTAAAACTGACTATTGTGTACTGATGTTGTGTACATTTGTGTATATTATAAATATACTAATATTAATAAACAAATATAGAATCATGAAGGAGATTGAAGTGTACATTTGCATTTATTGGATAACGTATTTATTGTATGTGCACAAATGTCAACGGATGTTAGTGTAGCAACTCAACCTACCTATTTTCCCTTTAACACAAAATTTCCGCCGGAAATAAATATAAGCTTCCGGGGAATTGACGTAAATGCAGAAATAGTGGAAATTACCAATTAGGGCGCAAAGTGAAATAAAATCTCACTCGAGAAGTATAAATCTAAACCCTAATAATTTAATATTCAAATATAATGACTCGGAGAAATGACAAACGTTTTCTTTTCTATAATGAGAAGCAAATTTACACAGTAAGTTCGGTGTTCCAGATGATTTTTCTTTTAATATTTCGTTGGTGAATCTGATCGATAATCACATTTCGCTCGCTTCAGAAAATGTTATTTGTAATCAATTAACGTTTATTTTAATTAATTTCAAATCATAAGTAACTTTCAAAAATCGAAGGGTGGGACATACTTTTACCTTCTTCATACTGACTGACGATTTGTAAAAGCACATCATACCAGAGTCTTTCAGACGTCACGCGAGTTATATAATATTTTACTTTACCATAATTTAAATTAATGATCGTTAATATACAGGGTGATCCAATTGAACTGCAACTTTTCAGAACGCTGTTTTTTTATTTGAAATTGGATTTATTTTTTTTTATTTTTTTTAAATCAATCTATCATCTTACATTGATATCTAGCCTTATGGGCTATCGATCCTTTTGGCTTTAATGAGTTTTTATTAGAAATTGGATTAAGCAAAAAAAATGTTGGAAAACAATTTAATTTTTGAATTCATTTCAAATTTTCGATATGGCCGCTTTCAACGCGAACCATAGTTCTGAGTTGGTCGACAAACGAACCTGCGGGCTTTATTGAACACATTAAAACTCTGGTATTTTTTAGTGCTGACATTGGCCTGTAAAATGACCCATACCGAGAAGTCGAGCGGATTTGCATCTAATCACCGTGGAGGCAACCGTTCGGTCGAAATGAACTGTGGAACGTTGTCTCTCAGCCATTGTTGGTTTTCGTGTGCTTTGTGTGATGGTGCAGAATCTGTTTGAAACGTCCACTCTTTATGACTGAAATGTTTGGTTGTCCACGGCTTCAGAGCACCTTCCAAAGCTTTTTCGTAATAGACATTCGCATTAACATTGACGCCACGGTCCAAAAGCACCAACGAAGAGCGACTATCGACCGTCACAGCTTCCCAAACTACCACAAACGATGGTATTTGACTTCTTGTGGCCATTCAAATGACTAAATTTTCGTTAGACCTCGCTTCTAAGTAAATTCGATGATTTTGTTTGTTTACGAATTTCTCAATTCGGTTCCCAATTGAGAAATTCGTTCCTTCGCTCTATCGAGTCTAGTTTTTGTTTTAACATCGGTGAGATCTTGTGCTTTTTTGAACTTGTAAGGCATTACTTTGAGTTTGATTTTGAGTATTAGTTACATGGTTATTTTCGATATTTTCAGCTGAATAGCTTCGAATCACTTCTACTACAGATGTAGGTATTTTCCGACCACCAAAATAGCATTTTATAACACTACTAGCTTCTTTATAACATGCTTTGGTTCGAGATACGAAAGATTTATTCATATTAGGGTGTTGAAGGGCTCTAACAATAGCCACTTTTAGTTTTCCACTCAAATATTGGGTTATCACACTATTACGTTTGAATTCCATCACGGATAACATTTTTTTCCAAAAAACTGAGATGCAAATGTTTTCGCAGACTTGTAAACAATAAAATCAGCTATCATTAGGCAAAATATAGACATAATATTTCCAACGGTTCGAAAGTTATAGCAGTTTTAAGTTTGTTGCAGTTCAATTGAGCCACCCTGTATGTATAGAAAATGAACCGGATGCAGAGACTTTATAAAAATTAGCAATGGAATCAGACAAAGACTGATTAAAACTAAATTATATTAACTTCGAACAGTATGAAACTTTGCAACTGCGAACAAAAATTTTTGTATTTATTATTTTCCTGTAACATCATTTTATTATATTTTATAAATTTTCTTGACGTGGAAGACCTGAGGCAACAAAACCAAAATGCGAAACCCATTTATCTTCTGTCCTATTCAATATTCAATTCAAAGTTAAATTATTTATGCTAATAGTATCAGTCATCTTTGATCGATGTAAATATAAAATATCCATACACATATCTTTCTCTCTAACATTTTGAAGAAACAACTACAAAAAAAGCTGTAATTTACTCACCGACATTTCTGTCGTCGGATGATCGATGAAGGTCATTTCGGATTCCTCTCCGTCCAATAAAATTGATACACTTCGCTCACCAAAGTCATCATCTAAAGAAAATTCAAATACTGAGTTTGAAAGAAATTCAATAATATTAAATTAATTGTAATTATTTTTGACATTTAAATTTATCAATAAATAGTAATTTCAATGTTAAGTGCTACTAGCCAATGAATAATTATCGTGAGAATGCAACGACAATATCGAATTTGGATGCAGAATGCTTGTCATGCGGCTGTCCAATTAGACTATTATACGTGGATATACATTTGCGAATAACTAATTTACATCCCTTTGTTAGGTAAACACAGATGTGAATGTTAAATGAATGACAGGACACGTGTTTTTCAACGTGAAAGGGAGATAAAGAAATTACCTAAACTTGCATCGTATCCATTCATGTACTCAGAGGTCATGAACTGGGTGACGAGTGATGTTTTCCCAACTCCTACATCACCGAGTAATACCACTCTGTAATTCGGTGATGCGACTTCTTCAGGTGTTTCAAACGAACTTGAATCTATTGTGTGACTAGCAGATCCACAGCAAGAATCTCCACCACGGTTGCTCGGCCTGTAAAGAAACGAAAATTAAAATAATAATAATTGATATAAATTCAAATTGATGAAACTTGATTGATCTTGATATATTGTCCCAGCAATGTAAAACAATAGGCACTGTCAAGGAATTCTTCACAAAATAAATTGGTTTTAATATTCGCTATAGACAAAAAAAAAAGAAGCCAATCTTGCGGATATAAATTTCCTATAAACAAAAAACTCAGACATGTTTGCTTTTAATATTAAAAGCTTATTTTATACGCTTTTGTATGATACTACCCAGTCTGTAAAAGCTATTCCTGCATATTTGTACTAAAAATGTTATGCTCAGCAATGTGAAACGTTTCCATAAACTTGATTACTTTAAGTATCAAGTCTAAGAAAACAATTCCTGTATATAATCTAACATTAATAGTGCTGGATTAGTAGTTTATAATTATTTATATACTTTTTTATGTATTTAAAGAAGTTCAAAAGTTGATGTGTATTAATGAAATTCTCTTGAAATATTGCGTGTTTTACGGTGGATGCGCCAGGCAACGAAATCAACGAAAAGTTCAATTTATTATTAAACGTGTTTACCCGTAACTAGATGAAAACATAATTTTTTCTCCTATTTACTAATTATTTATATAAAATGATGCAATAGCAGTTATTTGAATGAGTGAAAATGTTACTTATCGAACCGAAATTAATTTTGTTCCGGTTGAAATTAAAATTCAAAATCGAAAAAAAAAAATAAATTGTTTAGTTAAACTTTAAAATCGAGTACAAGTCCTTACTATTGTATTCAATTATAAAATTGAAGATATAAAAGAAATAAAAATTAATTAACCACTAGTTCAACACATGCGCTTTGTAATGTTTCTTCAGTCATGTTCCCAGTAATATGCTTTTTAATCACTTTAATTTGAGTTTGATCTAATGTTAGTTGCGAAAGACTTGTGCTTGCCCTTTCCTCTTCAAATATTCTCTTTTTAGTCGGTGGTTGATTGATGGTGATTAAGGCTTTATTTATATTGATAATTAAGCTTTCCCACTAAATACGGCCTTGATGGTATTCAAAGTATTCAAAGAGATTTCATCGAAGTCTCTTATACATTGTTTGTTTATATACTCTATTCACAATGGGTCTATATCGTAAGCCAGACAACCGAAATACCGTCTATCGAAATCCCGATTATATCAAAATATCGATAACCATAATCCCGACTATATCAAAATCTCCTCTGGAACATCAGGAATTTGATTGACAGTATTTCGGTTGTCGGGCTTGCGATTACCACCGATTCACGGTCTATTAGACCGCCCAAACATTGTCGAATTTTTTTTTTCGAATGTCTATATAAATAATCCAAAACGCTGGCACCGGCACACTACCATCAAAGATCATATATGAAAGAAAGCGATTATGAATTAATTTAATGAAAAAATAATAATTGAACCGAAATTAACCATAATTAAAATTTCGTTCCGGTTTCGGTTTTTCAATTGACCAATTTTTCCTTCCGGTTCAGTTAAAAATTCCGGTTAATTTCGGTTTACAGATCCGTTCCGGTCGGACTTTCTGCTTATAACTTAATATAAAAATATCGATTTAAGAAACTTTCAGAATCAATCTATCTTACGTATATATTGTAATTCTTATAATTTTCGTTGTTAATACAAAAATAAGGGTGAGTGTATGAATATAATATGTTCCATAACTTTTAACAATAAATGAATATTGGAAATGATGAAACCATACATATTCTGGGATTCAATATAGGTGGGTTTGTTGGAACTATTGTTTGCGAGTAAATACAGTGTTTCCTGTTGAATGTATGATCAAGCATAAATAAAATAATAATTAGTAATTCATGACCCACACCTGTCTGCAGCTAAAAGCATTTAATCGCGAATTAAAGTTAACGATCTTGACTTCTACAATAAGGGTCGACATTTACTAGTATTAACTAATTGTATATTTGCTCTAAATTAGATAGAAATTGATGATCGAAAGAAACCTAATAGACATGTAAATTCAAAGAATTACATTAGATGGCATCGAGGAAAATATTTTGAATAAACTGAAGAAAAATGTCTCAGTGAAATAAATAATTTAAAGAGTGAACCGAGTAAAAATTAAGAATTTATATTTCTTAAAGAAGAAAGTATATTTTTGAACAAAAAAATGAATAAAATATGTAGGAGATCGACGGTGCCGAGGGAATATAAAAATAAAAAGGTGGCGGATGTTGAGGAAACCAGGATAACATGGAGAGGTTATATCGATTGGGAAATTTCGTTGTTGTGGCAATTCTCAATTCTGGGATGGGCGAAAGAAATTAATTCATTGAATGTAACCGGGTATTTTCGTATTCACCTTAGATCCGACGTGCCGGGTTAACATAAATTTCTTAATTCCCGAATCAATTATAATTCCCTTTTATACTGGACTCGGTGTAATCCGATGGATTAAGGTTGCGTATTTTTTGTTAGCCTCAGGGATGAACACAGAAAAAAAAAGTAATGGTTGAACCATTACGAGAAGGTAAATGAACGTCGAGCGCCTCCGCCGCCACATCATTATTATTTATTCAAAACGATGAAATTGTGGTCGGCTCCCGTTCCTTTCCATCCAAACTATCAACAGGTTAGCTCTAACGGCTCAAATTTATGCGGCAAATCGATATCTTCATTTACGAGTTTTTTTTTTTTATTTATTTCTGATACAATTTCTACTGTCGTTATTTTCATTTACCAAAATATTTTGTTACCTGACCAGTACCGAATTCTACCTACACACGAGACGTCAATATTTCCAGCTTCCCTCTACATTATCCCATGCATTTACTTGATTAAATATCACTGCGTAGTCAGACAGTATATACAAAATAAAATAATAGAACATACAAAATGTAACATAATGGAACTGAATAAAATGAACAGAATTAAATGTAAATAACAAATGAAACGAAAATAGGAAATATAATGAAACAACAGAAACAAGATGAAAAAGTAAACATGCCAAATCGTCATATTTTTGATACAAAACAAAAATAAAATTTCACAAGAAGTAGATTTTATTTCAGGAATTGTTTAGAAGATTTCATATACATATAGAAAAAATAGCGAGTCTAAATAACATGCAAAACAATTTAGTAAATTATCTATATGGATTCGTCATACGGTGATCTATTATATACAGTGTTACTTTGTGCCGAAACCAAGAAATATTGAACGAATATAAGGAGTAATGTAAATATATAGAAAGAATAAAATGTCGTAGACATAAAAAAAGCAATGAAGCTATTCATCGAGCGAGTACCGAAACATTATATACTTGTCAAAATGCTATTGAACTTTCAATGAGCAGTCGACTTACCACTTAAATATAATCTAATTCTTTGCACGTAAAATTTTGTTTTTAAAATAATACTGTCGAAGTATTAACAGCAAAATGTTCCTAGCAGAGTCTATCAGACGCCACGCGAGTATTTGTAATATGTAATATTTTACTTCACCATTTTTTGAAAAAGTAAGCTTTAGTGATTAAGACATATTTAATGAAATTAAAATTAATCAACGTTTATAAATGTATCGAATAAAAGTTTTTGATTTAGAATATGAACGATAATTAGCAATGGAAACAGACAAAGACAAAAACCTATGATATTAGTGATGATGAAGATATTTTGTTTTACATTTTTATAAAATAAACATGCATAGTTTTTCCTCAATGTAATCAATAATATATTTACATAAAATAATTACTACTGTTATATTTAATAAAGTTTCTCAGACGCCATGCGAGTAACGATGTGACGCATTGCCGCGCGAGTAACGAAGGGTTAACGAAGTTAAAAGGACACAATAGAGAATTAACAAAAAGGTTAGTCACGCATTCTTCATATATGCCAGTAAAGATGAAGACAGTTAAATAATGGCTTGAAATGTAATTTGCCGTTTTTCTAAATATATAAAGTATATATTCACCTTAGTATATAGTGCGTAATATTTCTCGTGCTATTTTTAGAATATAATTTGGCGACGATGGAAATGACCTTTCTCGACGAGGGTTGTAAATGAAAAGAGGGAAGCGACAAACTGATCCTGTTAAATTTATTTCACCAACAAACCGACCGTTTTCGTTTGCGATACTAAAGCAGATAGATGTAATATTACCTGCTTACTGACGAATTGACACTCGTATTTGACCTGGAACGACGGCTGATTATTGAATCCCCGCGACTGACGACATTTCCCTTATCGGTGATGCTGAATGTACGAAGCTTGTAGAGGTCTTCGTTGTCTCTCGGATTGAACGCCTTCTCGGGAAGCGAACTAACCCTCGGCCTTTCATGATCTGGAACTAATCAATTTATTTACATAATTAGAGCATAAGTCTACATTCATTAGGCAACTACTTAATTTATAATTAATATCACATCCACAATAATTGTTATAGCAAAAATGCATCATTTCATTTAATTTTTAATTGCTATTTTATTAAGGATGTTTTTTGTGATGCAGTCCAATTGCTGCGATATTTAATATCGTAAAGAGTTTTTGTTAAAAAAGAAATTCATTACGAGTAGCTTTTACAATTTTTCCAGAACATTAAATTTCTTTTTCCAGTATTCTCATTTAATCATTATTTAATTAATTGATTGATTTTTAATGAATCCGCATTTCTATTTTAATTTATTTTTAAACGAATAATTTATTTTCATTTATTGCCAAAACTCATATATTTACAAATTAATTAATTAAATTTCAGAGACTCTATATAACAAAATATATAAATTGAATATTCAATAATACCTAACAAACAGACGGCTTCGTTTATCCAAATTAGATAATTTTACAAGTAAACAAGATATATAATCTGTAATCATTTAATCATCTATGTTTTGTGTACGTTCTACCTTGGATTGCATTGTTTTGAATGATGAAACAGGAATTTCAATTAACTCATCTACGGTGAGATTTTTGAAGTTACACAATTTAATGACCAATTAGTAATTTATCTAGCAGTTAACCTTTTTGCATTTAACACTGAGTAAGGTGTTAATTAAATTTTAAAGGAAGATACAAGTGCTTTGAAACGTTACACTTATTCGTAATTCTATACCCTAAGAGTCTCTCGCTATCATCAGCTACAATTTGTTCTAATAATTCCTATTATAATTATCATTAGACCGTCTCTTGTATCCTATTATTTATTATGTACATCATCAGTAATCTCTGTTATAGAAAAAATCAGTATCATTTTGTATTCATATATTTATATCATACTTTGTCCATAATAATTGCATTTTTTAACTACAACTTTAGCTTTCAATAGTTTACCTACATTTTATATTAGTATAAATTTAATATCTAATTTAAAAAAAAAATCATGAATCAAATATATGAACTGCAAATATATTTTTTATTTTTCCTATATTTACATATAAATACTTTATTAAATAATCAGATCACTTAAAACCAGTGGTTTCTTATCTTTGCAACTGAAACCAAAATGCAGGTGTTTCTTACAGGTGTTTAAACTCAGGTGTGATTTGTGTATGTGTTCAAAAAAATCAAAAAATGTGTTTTGCAGATATTGACAATATAACAATGTGCGGTGAATTATGTAAATATATTTTATAATTTGATAAATTAAATATACAATAATTTCTATCATTATGAATACATTTACCCGGCGCATCCAGTATTCCATACACAAACATAATTATAACATCAGTTATATTTACAAAAACGCCCGATCTGCAAAACAATTTTTCTGTAATCTCCTTAATTTTTGTTATTTTCTTATAGATTATGCAGGTGTGCTAAATTTCGAGACCATATTAGGATTTGATTTATGTTTAGTATCCGCTGTTTCATTCATTACTGTAAATCTCGAAATTTAGCTTTTTAGGTAATTCAGTTTCTCAAATTATTAAAATTAAAATAACGAAATTAACATTTTTTTCAATTTTTCTAATTATTCTGGGCTTTTTTTTTGTATTTCAGGTAGACTTGTATTTCTCATATGTGTATAATATTATAAAATATGTTAAATTTTAAAATGGTCAAGAAATATCCAATATACAACTTCTATAGTTCTAATTATTCCCAATGTACTAATTTTGTAGGTGTGTCGCATCTGAGATATATATAGAATTCATTTACTTTGGGGACGGAATCCAATTTGTTCTTATTATATAATAAAACAGAAAGATAAACAGCAAACCATTTACATTCAGATTACATACTTTTTCATTCGTGACAGTTGCTGTCTGTCAAGTCAGAAAAGACAAAAAAAAAACTTATAATTTGTCTTAAATTAATTAACTTTTCCTGCTCCCAATGTTTCAAAATAGTAATATTAAAACAATGACAAATATTATATTAACGACGAAAAATGAACATTTTCGTTTTAGTCGGTATATTTTAGTAATTTCCAATTTTATACACATAACGTTTAGATGAAACCCATTTTCGTGGGTTTTACGTGAAATGAAATAAAGAGAAGAGAAGAATAAGCATACACACATGAAAGATTTTCTATATAGACAATAAGCAAATCCGCGGATTATTTATTCTTCGACGATTCGATGCGGATACAAGAGAATCGAAATGAAATCCATTTCATATTCAGTATATATTTTGTTTTGAGTATTGGAACTGCCTTAGTCACAACAAAACGTTATACAATTGTGAAACGAAATTTGAATGGAAATTGTAATAATTCGTAATTAATATTACATCCAATCTCAACAACGCCAAATTATATTCATTTCAATATTCGCAAAGAATTAATTCTTTTATTTGTTTCAATTTGAATTTCTATTTTATTTTTCTTTATTGTATTAAAACCTTAATATTTTGTATTGTTATTATTGTTGCAATTATCTTTACTAAGAAATATATTTGTTTTAATTAGTCTACAGACTTATTTTACCTTATTAAGTATGAGTATTGATTTTACCCATTTCTGACATGCTGAACTCGCGTATCCGTATGTAAATATTCCGATTGGAAATTTTCTGCCAAATTGTAAGCAATGAATTACAATTATGTTGAATCGCGAAACATTGTCACGATTTGACAATTGATTTACATAAGTTGATTTTATAACACAATTCCGAAAGCAGTATCACCAATGTTATGCAATCAATATTTCCCATTTAAATTCAAAAGTTACTTCAGCTTGTTTGTAGAAGCACGAGTTTATTTATCGCAAACAAAAATTACGTTTTACTTAATTGAAGATAAAATATTGTAAGAATATTAATGAAATGTGTAAATATTTATTCATGTACTTTATATTTAAATACTTAATTTTTGTATACAGTGTGGCCCAATTGAACTGTAACTTTTCAGAACGCTGTATTTTTTTTAAATTTGAAATTGGATTTCATTGAACCACGAGCAAAAAATGTTGGAAAACAATTAATTTTTTTGAATTCATTTCAAATTTTTGATATGGCCACCTTGAGCGCGAACTATAGCTCTGATTTGGTCGACAAGCGGACACGCTGCATGAAAGTGAACCTGCGGACACTTTGGTATTTTTTAATGCTGACATTGGCCTGTAAAATGACCTTTATCGAGAAGTCGGTTACAGTGGAGGCAACTGTGCGGTCGAAATGAAGTGTGATGGTGCAGAATCTTCTTGAAACGTCCACTCTTTTTGACTGAAATGTTTGGTTGTCCACGGCTTCAGAGCATTTTCCAAAAGTTTTTCGTAGCATTAACCTTCACACCACGGTTCAAAAACACCAACAGAGAGCGACTATCGACCGTCACAGCCTTCCAAACTACCAAAATCGGTGATACATGACTTCTTGTGACCATTCGAATGTCTAAATTTTCGTTTGAATTCTCTTCTAAGTAAATTCGATCATTTTGTTTGTTTAAGAATTTATCAATTGGATTTTTTTTTCTCATCAGACAAGATGATATTTGGCAATTTCGTGCAAGCGCAACAGCTCCTTCGCTCTATCGAGCCTAGTTTTTTTTAACATCGGTGAGATCTTGTTCTTTTTGGAACTTGGAAGGCTTCACTTTGAGTATTCGTTGCATGGTTATTTTCAATATGTTCTATTGAGTGGACATTTACTTTCCCCTGCGTCGCGTTGCGTTTCGGAACTACTTTCCGACTACCAAAATAGCATTTTGTAATACTACTAGCATCTTTATAACGTGTTATGATTAGAGATACGAAATATGTATTGTCTTTAGGGTGTTCGAGGGCTCTAACAGTAGCCACTTTTAATTTTCCGGTCAAATATTGGGCTATCACGTTATTACGTTTAAATTACCTCATTGATAACTTCTTTTTCCAAATAGCAAATGCTTCCGCAGGCTTGTAACCAATAATATAAGCTATCATTAGGCGAAATATAGACACTACATTACCAACGGTTCAAAAGTTATAGCAGTTTTAAGTTGGTTGCATTTCAATTGGGCCACCCTGTATGTCTCTGTATTTATCATCTTTTTTTTTAATTTTACAAAATATCATGAAGAACTACGTTTTAGTGGATACAAAACTTGTAAAAGGTTGTTGGCATTCAGGGGATGTGCCGTTGATCTTTTGTATAACGTTGCAGCTCGTAGATGATATATTCGTCGGTGAAGATATTATGTAGATGTTGCAGAAAGTTTTGTAGAAAATTATTATAACTTTGAGGTCCAAAGAATCATCCGAGCTTGTATAATAATGATATCTTTACTTTGTAAGTGATTAATATATCAACCACTCAATGACTCTAAGCACTGACGCATATTTTCATGAAGTATTTTTTTTGTTTGTATTTCAACACTCGCCAAAAGCAAGGATTAAACGGTTTAATTTTACATTCTATTTTATGTAAAATTAAGTACTTAAGCTTTTACATCGTAGCTCGTTGGTTTTTAATTAAAATGTAAGTATTAGTCTGTAAAACTGTATCCTGCATGGTGCAAAGGAATAATAACAATAATTTTTATGTTTTAGTAAATTAAGGTACAATATTGTATTTTGGTATCGGAAGCTAACATTAACTTTACGCGATAACTTCGTGAAAACTTACATAATTTACCGAGGCAAATTTTCTTTGTTGAATAACTTATTGCAATTTCGAAACCAAACAAAGAGCTTATTTTATAATTAATAGATAGTGATTTATAAGGCTTGAATGGAAGGAACTTTATGATTCTAACAGTAATTTACGTTTAGGCAACTGAAAGATGAATTTACCTATCTTATGAATATTATTAAGCACACGTTTCTATTTCGAGTACTTAGCAATCCTTATTTATATTTTTTATAAGAGTAACTTTATCTATAAACAAAGAGCACAAACTTAAGTCCTAAGTACTACGTATGGGTCAAAGTGACCCTGACAAAAATAACCTGATATCATACATTTCTATAGTGAGACTAAAGAAAACTATAACGTTTTGTGATATATGCAAAAAACTAGTCTGTTCTACTTGCTCAAAAAGTAGCAATAAGATCAGTTTTAAATAATGTTAAATTCATTAAATAATAAGAACTAATCTGTATTTGTTGTATAAATTAATAATTAGTTCTTTTTTTAATATTTTATAAACGGGTCATTTTGACCCTTTCGTAGTGTTTTATTTATTTGTCCGTAATAGTTATCAGTTAAATTATATTCAATTTTATTGCTTCAACTTTAATTCATAATTGTTATGTAAATTCAATAAATAGTCAATCGCATATTAATAATATGAAGATATAACTTAATAATAAATATTGAAGCGTTTACATGTAATATTAATTTGCAATATTGCAATTATGAATCACATTTCCGTCTCACGATTAATCATCTACATAATTTGAACGCAGTTACCGCAAATCAATTCATAATTTAATAGTTGATGCGTACGGATTTGCGGTCAGTATTAAATTTATTATCAAGGTGTGGATTGTGTTGTTTTTTGAAATATTCTAATGTATGGATTTTTCTATTTACTCACTGAATCATTAAATTTAGAGTGTATTTTTTAAATCCAATGTGCAACGTAATAATTAACAGTTTTTTTAATTTGTTTTACATTCAAATTCGTTCATTTGTTACTATATACGTGTATATATACAGTGGAACCTTGCTTAATGAGCATTCCGCTTAACGAGCAAAATTAATTGTAAGAAAAATGACTCGCTTAACGAGCCACGTTTCGCATAACGAGTGACGATGAGAAGAGAAGACTCGGATTGCGCGCCTTCTACATCATTTTTTATAACTTGTGTACACATATTATGTGTATTTTTCTATATATTTACCAGCTTTCCTTGTCATCATTGTTTAAAACAGACTATACTTGAAATATAATTTGTGTTTGCTGTAAATGCAAAACACAAATGTATTGTGTCCAACCATTATTATAATATATAAACACTCTATGTATAATGAGACCTCCACCAAGTACCCGAATTGATACAAGTAAACTCACTTGACCGTGTGTGAATTGGAAAACAGTTCCTGGTGTTAGTTGTCATTCTAGTTGCATCTTAGTGTTGTTTGTGATCACAAAATTTCGAAACTTGTGTTCAAACATGTTATTTGTGTTTATTTTGTGCAAAATTTAATAACACTTGTCTCCGAATAAGAAGCCACAGAATAAAAAGAACCATAGATATGAAAATCAAAATCATTGAAAATCGGCACCAAGTTATACTTTTTTTTTTGAACGGATTAAACTCGTTAAGCGAGGTTCCACTGTATATATTTTTGCTGTTCTAATTTCATTATTTAGTGAATTCGCTGGAAAATCCAAGAATTAAATCATGTATTATTACTGTAAATTCAAGTGAGCTATATATTGATTTTTTGACATCCTCAAATATCGTTTCATATCAAGTTGAGAGTTGTTTAAAATAGTTTCACTTTGTTTCAAGAATATAGTGAAGTGAACAATATTTCATAATAACATTTTCGATGAAAGTTCACTTTAATATTGCTTCCTTCCGTATGTACCATAATTATAGACTAAAGAAAATATTTCTTTCTTCGGTTTATTGTATTATCCAAGCATATAGCTTCGACCGACGCTTTCTAAGTGCATGAATAATCTGATTGTTTTCATGTAAAACTTGAAAGAAGGATGTATTAAAAACCGGATTATTGGCCTGGTCGGAACTTAAAAGTGACATTTACTTAACTGGGTAAACTTCAAATGAATCAATATCCTTGTCAGTCAGAGCTGTTGTTACACTTATCTTCTCCACGACTCTTAGTATTAATTATAACAAATCTTATTCATTATGATATTTATTTAATGTTTACACTAATAGATATATTCAAATATTTAAAATTTATAATAATTTAATAGTAAATAATAGAAAAATTATTTCAATATGAATAAACGATTTTAGTATAAATACGTATATGCTGGAGCATATTTACAAAATTGAATTCCACCTCAGCTTAAGTTATTCACTATATTTTTATATCATAAAGGAATGGAAGTATAAGAAGGTTTTATAATTCGTGTTTGTGATATGAAATGTGGAATCCTTATTACAGCCACACACACGTTATGGAAAGAGTACAAAGGAGATTTTTTGTATGAGAAACAGAATGAGCTTTTCTATAACATTGTTGAGTTTTTGGATGGATTATTTTTCTCGTAAATTTTGCTGCGATCATTGGATTTTTACATTTAAAAATAAGAATAATACTGTATAATAATCTGAAAGACCAAAGCATATTATTAATAATTAGTGTTTTTTTTTATCTCTAGGAAATATAATTAAACTGTAATTAAAGAACAAACAACATGTTATTAAAATTAATAATTTGTGAATATACATTATTGAAACATAAAAACTTTATATTTTTCGTTACTCGCGTGGCGTCTAAAAAACTCCGTTAAATATAACCTTAATAATTAATTTATATAATTGCTAATTTTCGTAAAAACTCTGCTTGCCTGGCGTCTTATAAACTACGCTAGAGCGCATTATTCTAAAACATATTTTTAATTATGCTTCTTTCTCCTTTTTGTGTTCTCCTCTTTGGGGATGCTTTATTCAAGGTTCATTCTTAGAATATCGCTCAGTCGATATATATGACAGATTTCCTACGATACCAGAAAATTCAACGTTTGATATAAGTATTATAACGATCTTAACAAGCTAGCTATAGAGAGAAACGCAAACATGTTTACTAAATATCAAGAATTCTTGGAATCGTATAACAAAAAAGGGATTGTGTGCAAATGAAACCAATTATTACAAGAAAAAAGGGCTTCCTGTATATACGTGTAAATGGTGTATTGAATATGCTGCTTGTTTTTCCATTATTACATTTAAATAGTTCTATTGTCCCTGATAACGTATTATCTGCTCAGTGCAAAATCGAAGCGCAATTTATTTCAAATATTGTTCATCTCACAATTGATCGCAAATATAAAAAGTATATTTATCTGTTATTTACCCAAGATTACAATAAAAAAAAATATGATTAGATTATTAGATAAGTGAATATAAAAATGCAATTTCATGAGATGTTCCATTAAATAAAATGTATCGAGAGGAAGGACTTGACGGTATTAAACTTTTTCTTCGTGAAACGAAATTTAAATGAATCGCGCTCGCAAAGTATTCACAATTAGGAATTCGATTACAGCAGAGACGGGATTTATTTCACAAATACTTTAAAAGAAGGACATTTTATCACGATTCCTGGCATTCAAAATAGGAATCGTGAATATATAGCTATTATATAAAGTTTCATTTCATTTAATATATTCGACAGTGTTTGAATCAGCAATGTGACGCAGATTTAGTTCTGTACTCGACCAGTGTGTTGTTTGCTAAAAACAAAAATCTGTTGGAAGTTTTCAGTATAATATATCGCATCATATATTCACTTCAGCTTCATCATATTTGTGATAGTTTCAGCGCGAAATGTTCTTCTATTCACTAGAAACGGACGACTTCTCTAATAGCTACTTGAACAATAGTTTTACCGTGCTTTAATTTGGTGAATTAGGTTTGAGCTATTTAATGTATAAACTCATCGCCTTAATTACAGTTTGCATTCAATTCTGTTAGCTCACTCTGCTATAAATTACAGTTTTCACTACAATATTTAGTTCACATTTCAGAAAAAAAAAACTCTTTGAAATCTACCTTCTTTCAGCCGTTATTTTACAGCCAGAACTGTTAATAGACGTATTACAATTAATAAAGGTAATATAAAAACGATTTTAATTAAAGTTGAGAAATGTTTAAACGTTTAAATGTGTAGAAAGTAAACAGGATGATAATATCAATACAATAAACGATAAAGTGCAAGACCAAAAGAAAATATATAAAACATAAAGTTTTTAAAACAAATTAATGTGATGTGAATTAATTGTTATAGAAAAAAAAGTAATGTTCGTGTATGGATTAAAGCTGCAGGGCTTTTGTACTCTATGGAAAAAAAATATTTCATGACATTTGAAAAAGTTGTTTTGTTCATTTCATAAAGCTACACAAAATGATGGTATAATTGCGAAACTTGCATATTACGACATTGATTTTCATAAAGAATCATTTGAATACAGTCAGCGCTCGCATAACAAATATATATGAAAAGGTACGGCCCTTTGAGCGGAATAAGTTTTTTCAAGTCAGTTTTTTTTATTCATTTTTGTAAAAGTTAACTAATACACCTATACCTCAAATGCTATTTATACAGCCTTTTGGCTTTTCGGCCAACTTTTAGAGAACGATTATATGTAATCCATTTGAAAGTTGAGCTATAAAGGCCCAAAATACGATTGCGACCGAAGAGACACATGAATTAGAAATATTTGCTTACGTTAATTGTACACTAAATATAGTTTTGTCCCATGAGTGGGTTGATAACATCAATAAACATACCCGGTAGTTCCAAGAAGTTAGAAGTCCGTCTCTGTCGTCCCCTGTTCGTATTATGGAAATTAAGTGGAGCAATTACTTCTTCAGAGACATTAGGATCGTTTGATGTATCTCGGGACACAACTGAATCTCGTGACCCGCGTCTGGATGCTAAATATGCCAGACCCTTCTTGCCGGACCTCCTCCGTCCTGGAGAGCAGGATTTTCTGAGTAAAGTTGAGGTGGTAACCGCCTCGTCAGTGCTGTCGGTGAGATTAGATGTGGATTTCCTGTGTCGCGATGCACTACGTGACTTGCACCTGGATTCGCTCATGGACCTGTGCGATCCGTATCTTTGCTCGTACACAGGATTCGTCTGACTATTGCTGCGCAACTTCTCCTTAGACGTTGAACCGTATGACTCGGTATCGGTGGAACTGCAAATTTTGTATTCGATATCTTGGTAGTCGCCGTTGGGATATTTTTTGGTCGAACTATACTCCAGACTCGGTATGGAATCTGTAACCGTGTTCTGGTACTTTTCTTCAGTATATTTTCTTCCCCTTGGTTTCGTCGACTGCACATTGAAATTGAAGAAGTTTCCAGATCCAGCAGAGGTACCCGGTTCCTGCGGTAAATATCTTGGGATCCTCGGTAACATTTGAATGTTGTACGAGTGATCGCTTGGACTTAACAACGGTGTCATCTGCGAATGGGTCGGTGATATCGATGGTATCGACTCCAACAAGTAATTGTCGTTGGGATTCACATTGTTGGCACTGCTTCTATTCGGAATCGGACTCGGACTCGGACTCGGCAAAGATGAATTGGACCTGTGCGGCGAATTCTCCCTGCTCGACTGCAGGGATGCATTTCGAAATATCTTCGTCTTTTTCATCGTCTCAACCGCCGGAATTCACTAGGTTGGACTTGAACTTGAACTTCGGAGCGGAGCACGCGCGACACCACAGCAGCCCTTCGACGCTCAAACAGCAATGAGGATATCGTCGCAGGATACGGTGGAGAGCGTCGCTGCAGCTCCAAGCACAGACGCACGAGCACAGCAGGAATACGACCGTGAATAGGGACAAAACGAATACTAAAAACATGACCAGATTTCAGCTGTACGACAAAAAAAAACACTGAAAAACGTAATGCTGAAATAAAATAACTATTTTAACCTCTACATATACAGGTTAATTATTAATGATAAATTTGAATATTGAAAACTAAAGAGAAATTTTAAAATTTTGAAGCATTAACATAATATCCAAACCTCGGAAACAATCTTATTCCAATAAGTTCACCTTCATATAAAAAATATATATGTCACTAAACTGTTAAATTATTTATAATTTAGTAATGATTTAACAGTAACTAATACACTCATACACATTACGATTTCAACAAATGAAAATATGTAAACCATTGAAAATTTACAAGAATACTTTTAAGAAGAAGCTATATTGATTGCCGGAATCATGCATTAGGGACCCGGCACATCCACCGCAAGCTCCGCTTTTTAGCAACAGGTAGCGACTTCGATCGAATAAACCCCATTAACAACGCTATCAACGTTTAATTATTGAAATTGTGAGATATGTGAAATCGTAACGTAACCGCCACATTTTGTAAATGTAAAAAAAAGCGTATTGCAAATTATGGATAATTGCATCTGGTATAATTAATTGTGTTCCTTTACTGAAGATAATTAATGATTCTGATGTACAATTTGTCGCTGCCATATGAAGGTGCAGAACAAGATTAATACAGTACATTTTGCGAATTGGAACGAGTCTGCAGGTGGGGGCGGTTGTGGAGTTTGTCTGGGGCTGTGGATAGACGTAGTAGACGCGAAAATGTTGATGAATTACAGACTTTCATCATATATTAATCGGGCTTAATGTAATAGATTTTCAATTCTTTTTCTTGTCGTAAAGGTGCGTCAATAGAAAATAATTTGAAAGGAAAAGCGTTTCAGAACTCACCGCGCTCATTAATCAATATTACAATTCACGATCGTTTCTATTTCAAATTATACACATAGTTTCAAACCATAATTTATAAACTAATTTATTTGGAAATGTTGTATTTAAACTACTGACGACTAATATAAATGCTAAATACGTTGAAGTAATTTATAAAGTCTACCCTTGGTATAATATGTAAATATGAGCATGTTTATAATACGTTACTTCTTTTTCAATAATTTCATTTGTTTTATTCTATTTTTATAAATGTCATTTGACATCATATTTTTTTTAATAATAATAATTTAGATGAAAATGAGAACAAATATAGAATGGGCTCCATTTTATTACTTTAATTAAAAACGCAAAATGCCAATATTTTAGTTTAAATAAACTATTTATAAAGAATGATATGCGTTTTCAAAGAATTTAATTAAATCAGATCAAATTCCAAATGAAATATTTAATTTATATTTTACAATCATCTACATAGAATGCTTTTTACACACAAGTATGAAAATCCATATAACCCTCAAGATTGAATTGCGCGTAGGATACTAAAAAGTAGTGTTTTTACATTTTATTAATTTTCTCAGAAACTATTTAATTAACACTCGAAAAAGCATTGTTTTCACATTTTATTGTTTTTCTCGGAAAATTGATGTTTGGGGGATGCAGCGAGTGCACTTCTGTGGTTTCATTCATTTTGCTGTAATTCGCGTTCAAAATTGCAAAAAATTAATATTTTTTTATGTCGTATAATTTTATTCACAATCTGTTCATCAATTTGAACATTGATAATCTTTCCCGGTGGATAGTTTACCATTATGATGATTTGATTTTTAATTTATTGGTCTGCGATTCCACTATTTCCTTTGACTGTGAATCTGCTGCTATACTTAACACTGTCATTGTCCATCGATTTAGCTGAAGGTCCATATGCTGAACCTCATTAATTTCACTGTTCTTCTGTGATGAACGATAGCCCTATGCTACAAGCACCGAGAGGGCTCACAAACGGACTAGCTTGACCAGGATTAGAACCGGCAAACCATTCAGCTATTAGTCGCCCTAAATGAATAATTTATGCAGTTTTTTCACAGAAACTATAAATGATATTTTTTTTATTATTATTACTAAAGCTATCTATCATCTGGCATAAATATTAAGCTTTATGAATGTGGTTAAAAAAAAAACAAAAAAGGACACTATAATGCTTAATGAAGAGAAGATCCAGCAACCCCACTTCACATATACAATAATTTATGCACTTGCAAACATTGATTTATTGATTGTTAAAATCGGCTGGGTAAGTCTTGCGGTTTAGCTCCGTATCCAGTTGATTTGGGTGATTCTCTCGCCGATGATGGTATCTTGTGCTAGCCTTTGCTATTTCTTCCTTGACAAAACTTATGTTAGATTGCTTATGGATGTCATTGTTTGTGAAGAACCATGGAGCATTGGCAATTTTCCTCAGCGTTTTGGACTGGAATTTCTGTATTATATCAATACTAGTGTTACAGGCAGACCCCCAAAGCTGAATGCCGTAGGTCCATATCGGTTTTACAATTGCTTTATAGAGCACTTTGTTTTCTGTTGATATGCAACAGTGTCTTCCAATTAGCCACTCCAGCTTCCTAGCCCTCAGATTGAGACATTTTCTCTTGGTTGCTATATGCGTTTTTCAAGTAAGGCGTCGATCTAGGTGCATGTCAAGGTACTTGGCCTCATTTGCCTGAGGCAGAGTGGATGCGTTTAATAGGACTGGAGGACAGGACTTAGCCTTGTTTGCTATAATTCTCCACTTTTTTAACCAGTTTTCGATGTTAATAAGGCTAGCTTGGAGCATTTGTGAAGCAGTTGTTGGGTCAGTGTGCGATGCCAGGATTGCAGTGTCATCAGCGAACGTGGCCACAGTGACTTGTTGAGATGTAGGCAAGTCCGCCGTGAAAAAGAGATATAGCAAGTGGCCCGAAACGCTTCCCCGAGGGATTCCAGAGCTGATCGGTCGTACAGTAGTCATTTTGTCATTGTGTTTGACCTGAAAGTGCCTCCCCGTTAAGTATGATTTAGAGATGGAATAGTATACGTGGTGAAGGCACTTCTTAATTTTGTATAGCAGCCCATCATGCCACACCCTATCGAAAGCCTGGCATCAGTTGGTTTTCCAGGTTTTGGAATGAGGATAATCTGTGTAACCTTCCACTGTACTGAAAAAATGCCAAGTCTTAGGATGGCATTAAAAATAAGTGTAGCATTCCTCAGGCCAGCAGTTGACAGCTGCCTCAGAACCTCTGATGTAATTAAATCATAACCTGGCGATTTTTTATATTTCAATCCATACCGTATCATCAATTCAACCTCCCTGACTTTAAATTGATTTATTGGAAGCGACATTTGGAACGGAGACTCAAAGAAACGCGTTATTTTGCGCTCTTCGTCATCAGGCAGTTATGAAGTGAACGGTTGGAATACCTTAACGAGGTGGTCGGCGAATAATTCCGCCTTATCCCTATTGCTTCTTGCCCAAGTCTGGTTTGCGAATTGGTGGTACACTCTGCTTAGGTTGTTTTAGTTGTTTAGTGGTTCTCCATAGCAAATAGTCAGTTGCTTGCGTTGGTGTTAGGCTCTTGAGGTAGTCTTGTAGAACTTCGTTCTCCTGTCTTTCCAATGCATACTTCAGTTCTTTTGTCGATCTGTTCAGAAGAGATGATAAAATGAATCCAAAAGATGCATATGGAACCTATATATTTTGTGTAATGCAACTTTTATAATTGTTTTATAGTAACAAGATTCCTAAAAACAATAAGAAATAAAACACAATTCGTATAACAATCAATATTTGTCTTAATTTATTCTCTGCAAAAAAAAACAAAACAAACATAGTACATTTAAGTGAGCGGCTCTTTCCAGATTCTTATTTTTTTTTTTTTTTGGGCAAACTCGAAAGGCGCTGCTCGTGCCACATATTTTTTAATCACATATACTTTAAGTATAATTTTAGATCTAAGATGTACTTATAACATAATAATTGTCATTTTATCAAAAAAAATCTATCTATAACAAAAGAAAAAATTAGTAAATGTAAATAAATCTAAAGTTTATATATTAATTTAAGTATGTATACTTATCGAGACTAACAAATCAATTTCTTCGATCTCTATATATTATTATTATTATTATTATATGACTATTAAGTTCAAAACATGTACAGGCAAAATGTACTTAATTAAGAATAACAGATTATATATTAATTATTGCACATAACCTATGTAATTTTGAGCCTGTCGCTTGCATAGGGAACAACAATAAAAATAAACCAAAAAAAAAACAACATTATATGTAATGTAATTAATGTGTTGGAATCATTGCACTAATAAACTTCTCAATTCGATTGATTGATTAAATAAATTATAATCATAACAAAAAAAAAGTACTAATAATAATAAACAATTGTGACTATTTTCGTTGACAATTAAGTTCATTAAATATAGGAATAATATTTAGCAATAATATATGATAATAGTATAACAATAAATTCTAGGTTATTAAATCACATGGAAACTAAGCGACTAAGCGAGGGCTTATCCTTTCAGCGCGTGGCCAAATTTCATTAAACAATTCGACCGACGTGTGACACATACCGAATCACATTTATTTAACTTAAATGGGAAGACAAAGTGATATTTGCTGCTTAATTAAATGCCTGTTTTGACGGCATCACTTAGAGAGATAGAGATAGAAAACACTATTATTTTCATATTCCTATTATTAATATTTCATTTAATCTCTTGCAAATCATTGTTTTCTTCAAATATTATTATCCGTGTACTCGTGACTAATCCAAAACAAATTATAAATGCAATCTATGCTATAAAATGCTTGAAAATAAAAAGAACTAAAATTCGCTAACAGATTATATTAAGTTGTATATAAAATTTAATATGTTAACAAACATAAAATATATTATTTTAAATACATATTCAAATATATATATTAATCATCTGCAGATATATCTTTAATTGTTTATATATATAATATATGTTTAATTTACTATTTTTTACATACATAAATATTAAATCTTTTTGATATGTATAAATATATTAAATTCACAATATTCTTTATATAAGATTTACGATATGAATTTCAACTTATAACTAATTACTTTGAATAGATATTTCAATAAGTTTTCTTTTCTATATTTATATATTATATATATGTATGTTTTATGTCTTAGAGTTTATTTGATTTGATATTTATTAAATTAATAGAATTTAATGACTATATCCGTTTTATGTCTTACTAAATGATCAGTTCGACGTATTGGCTGAAGTTCTGTCGTGGTTTTTCGTGTTCGGGTCGTGGCATTTGGTCAGGGAGGATGCGCCCGTCCATCTGCGGAATCGGCCCGGGCATCGCTTGCATTGGTATACAATCCGGTGGCAACTGAAAACAAAACAATAACAAATTGTTGTTATAATAAAAGCACTTTATACGTGCTTTTGAAGCTCGAATATTCCATACTCGATTAAAAATACATGAACTATTCAAGTATTTTGGTGTATTATGTAACGTATCGATTTATTTACATTTACGTTTTGAGCTGCACAAACATGTATTTAACATTTATTTGACCATAACGACGTATGTGCTAAACAATAAAGTAACGCAGCACAAAATTAAATAGCAGGGATTCACGCTTCAAAATTTAAAGCTCATCTGCATATTGGCTACGCGTCGGTGATGCACACCTAATGTTTGCCAAATCGATACACTGGAATTGCAAATTACAAATTGTAATTTCGCACCAAACACGCTCTTTTAGTATAGTGTTTGATTCCTAGGCAATCCGCGGACTTTGATGACATTACGTTGCATTTTTAAATTTATATGAGTCATATAGACAATAAGTATACAAAATGGACAAATTGTAATAAAAATATAATGAATCATAATATTACATTCCATATGATGATATGGAAGAATCTCCTATAAATCTTAAATTTAAAATATGCTACAGTTAATTTACAGTTATTTGTATACACAGCAAATGCTTCTTTTGCTCTTTAATGTTTGTATACGCATAAATTCTTTAAATTGTTATGCGCTTCTATTTGTTAATTTTTGTTCTTCTTGGCAGAAAGTATATATTTTAAGATAGAAATGAACTAAACCCGATCATTTTCTCGAAATATATTATTCTGTCCCGCATACTATTACTTTGTTATTTGTATATTTGTTACATTATTTCCAAATCTAAATTAATTGTAGTTACATTAAGAAAATTCAACAAGAATTTGAAGCAAAAAAAAATAAGTAATTGAGACTGAAATAATTCTATTTAATGCAGCATTAATAAACTTCCAATCTTATCTAAGAAGTGACAATTTAAATGTTAAAGTGTTGATGTTTACCATTTGTTGCTGTAGCTGAGGTTGAGGTGGCATAGCACCTGGTGGTGGCATAGATGGCGCGTAGTAACTGGTCGGAGAGACGGGGGGACTAGGATATGGCCAATAAAATATTGGCGGAGGGAAAAATTGTCGGGCTCCCATGGGTGCAGCAGCAATCTGAACGGGTGCATATCCTGGAAAATTCGCTCCCGGATGAAAACCTGTCGGTATTATGTTGCCACCTAAAAAAGTTTTAAACGCACATTAGTATTACACATACCCAATCACACAAAAATGAATCCATAAACATCTCATCTACTTTCATTACAAAATAATATAAAAAAAAATCCTAATTGGTAATGTTTTCTTTTTGATAGTAATAATAATACCCGGCTATTAGTGAGTTAAATAGTAGAAATGGTGTTCGGGAAGATCAACAAAATACTTGTTTCAATTCCGAAACCCCGATACAGAAATGTCAGAAGAAAAATTTAGTGTGACTTTTAAACTACAGCTATATGACTTTTTGATTTCGTATGATTCTCCAAAAAAAAAAATAATATCTTCACCGTCACCAGTAAATGTGGAACTAAACACCAACCATTGAAAAGAAACAACAACACACACAAATCTTATACCAACAAAGAATCAATGTTGCAACGTTCGTGTAGAGAATGTTGCATCATTGAGTTATCCATCAAAACCCATCCGGTACAGAGATAATCCCAAAATATTAAAAATAAATAAAACAATCAAAATATAGTATAAGCCCTAATAAAAAGTAAGGTACGGAACTTCTCAGTGTTCCGTATGTTCAAGTTGATAGAATAAGGTGTTATCTAATTTAAAAAAATAAAAGTATATAAGTATAAAATTAAGACTCACCACAGTGTAGCAGAGTATAATTTACCGCTTGGCGGCAGCTCACACCACGAACGACTCCGACTCCCGGCCAACCAACAAACTAGCCCACATACACTACACTGCTCATTAATTTAGACAAAATTGTATAACCAAGCGAGATAAATATACCCAATCTAAACTAGGTGAAAAATCGTAGACATATGAAATCGAAAAATAAAATAAAGTAAACAATCGAAACCCAATAATGAGCAGTGCAGTTGCTTTGCGAAAGAGATTCTAACATTAAACCCAAAAAGCATTAATGTGACGTAAACATTTATTAATTAAAAAGTGTAAAAATATATTAGAACATATTTTATGAAGAGCTGCATACAGTACAGAAAATAAAAAATAATAATAATTAAATAAAATAAAATATGAGTGTAGGTAGAGTTAAACTAAATATAACTCTATCGTAACTTTCGCTAGAACTTTGGTCAACCGTGGCGCGGCATGCAGAAACAAACCCAGAGTAGAAATATTAAGTTAGTAAGCCGATTCTGAATAAAGATAATAATAATAATTAAACGAAAAATAATTATAAAATATATAGAGAATATATGAAACAAATGTTGGTTAGTACACGATTGAAAAATAAAACACTCACACCAAGACACACCAAATCTAGCGAAAGCCAAGAAACTGCAAGAGGCTTAAACTAAATGTAAACAATAATTCCTACAACCGTTAATTATTAATTACGAAAACTTTAAATAATCATAAACTATGCTAGATAAAAACAAACTTAAATTTTAAACCCAAATATTTCTTTGAAAAATAAAGAATAAACTTATATAATATACATATAAATTCAAAAATAATCGTAAAAAAAAAAGCTACCAAAAATTCTAATATCATTAATAATCGTATATAAAAAAATCTCCCATTCCAGCTATTAACAAATAACATTTATATAATAGATCGTATCCAAAGACAACTTAGTACGTTTTGTTTTATTGTATTGTATCTATTAATTAGAATAAACAAAAATAGATGAATCTCATCTAACTATAATTAATTAGTTAATATATTTATATATGTATATACAAATCGAGTTAAGTCATCTTTGAAAGTATGTTTCATATACCGAATAAAAAATATCTCAACGATAACGAGTCCCAATTTTCTCGATTAGTCTTTTATTTAAACTTTCATTTTCAAGAAAGTTCTCCTATTTTAGAGAGCCTGCTGGCTCGCAGACAATTTGTTACAACAAAAAGCCTTTTTGCACAACAAAGTATAGGAAACAACGTCCATTCAAAAAAAAAATTAAATATACCTCAACAACAAATTGTATAATAATAAAAAAATATTATTAAAAAAAAACTTGGAATGCATTGAATCACAGTTTGTTAAGAAAATGTATAAACCAATAACCAAAACAGAAAATATATATAAATGTAACCCATTCTTACGTTTGGCTTAGATATCTCAAAAAATATATATGTATAGCGAATTATATAGCAAAGGCACTTGAATATATGTATTTACATGTCTTTTGTGTTTTCGATTGCGCGTACGTATGTGTATATTTACATGTTCGGATAAAAGTGTTGATAGACTGGGAAAGTGCCCTGGGGATGGAAAGGTCGTTTCGCCGGCGTCGCGGTTTGTTCAGCAAATGCGTCGCCGTAGGTGCGTTTAACGGCGACGTGGGGCATAACAGGGTAAACATTAGGGGCGGATGATGCCTGCAGGAGATGCGGTGGATACATGGGAGGTCTGGACAAACCCATGGGCGTCATTTGGCGCTGAAGCAAGAGCAGAGGCTGCTGCTGCGACAGAAGATGTGGAAGCACCACCGGGGGTGGTTTGAGCATAGAATTTGGATTCGAGTTGGGCGAGAGCGGACCGTGATTCAGGACGGCGAGATTGTGATGGGCGATTTGGTTCATAAGGAGGATGTCGTTTTGGACTTGTGCTTGATTCTGACGTGCCAACAGGTTTTGCTGGGCAATCATCTGAGCCTGTTGCTGCGCATACAAAGTCGGATTTTCCCAGCTGAGTGTCGGATTCGGTTGCACTAAGTTTTGAGATATCTGAGCCACCGTCGTATTCGGAGGTGGTGGTGGTGGTATATTAGTAGGGGGTAAGGGCGCAATAGCAGGTAACATACCGGGACTGAGTAAAGCTGGAGCCGCTTTCGCTGGAGAGACCGGGGCCGGAATCCCCCCGGTCAACACGAGATTCATATCATCACCGGAGCATTGAAACACTTCTATATACCGTTGCTTCTTCCCAAAGATCATGTAACGATGGTGCTTCTGAGTGGCCGTTATAAAAGCGGACTGCTCCGAATCCATCTGGATGAACGCCTCGCCGCTAGGTTGACCCTGCAACAATCAACGGATCTCGTTTTACAAATTCCTCACGCATCGAATTGCTTGCTCCTCATTCGATGGATGTGAGTCGATACTTACTTGGGCATTGTACACCATGTGAACTCCCTGGAAGATGATGTTCTTGGCGTGATCTCCGAGAAAATCGAGAATGTGTTCCACTTGCGCTTCGTAAGGTAGTCCGCGTAACCGGACGCAGTCCTTCCTCGTTCCCGATGTAATCACATGTTGCGGCAGTAAAGGAACCTGAGGCATCGGCGTAATTAGCGGAGCTGGCTGCTCGTAAGTTTTAGGATCCATCGACCTGTTCAGCACCTACAACAGCACACACCAAACATCATTAAAACACATATTCCCTGCGGACTTAACTCGATCGAACAACGATAACGGCACTTACTTGTTGCACTTCTGCCGTCGTCGATCTGAATAACTCGATATATCTGGAACCGATGCATTCCCGATGCTTGGAAAGAGCTTTCGGGGCGTCCGTTTCATTTGCAAACAAGACGAAGGCATCACCTGTTGCGCGACCGTCCGGCTTCTTAACAAATAGCACACCGTCGGTGCCATCGAGGACCGTACAAGAGCTATCTCCAGACGCGAAAAAATCCAGCTGCAATAAACAAATACAAAAATCAACCATATAAATCACTTTCAACACGATTACTTACAACTTGCTTGGCCACACAATCGTATGGTAATCCTCTCATACGAATTATGACAGCCGCACCTCTAGATAAGAAAGCCTGCGCCTCGCAGCTCGATCCACCAGCTACGGACAAGAAATCTTTACCAGAGGCCCGATACACCTCGATGTATCTGGAATCGATGTGGTGCTTGTGCCGTTTCAAAGCCATATCTCTATGTTCTTGATTTATAAAACGCACTAAAGCTTCTCCGTTCCTTCTACCCTGTGCCGATAAACACAAAGCTACACCGCCCCTGCAACAACAACAATAACAACTAAGTATTTCCAACAATTCCAATAGACCAGAAAATAATTGCAATGCACTGATGCATTTATACTGTTTTCACACGAATCCCGAGGATGTCTGACATGCAGCCGCGTACACTTGTACAATTCCTTTATTTGCTAAGAATCCCGTTCCGAGTCAAAAGACTTTGGACCGACATATTAATATTGAACAGCTGATACAACCTTATCATGATATACAGTTGACCTTCCTAAATTACCTCATTATTGCATCACAAGTCATAATGTTCAATAGTGCAGCAGCTATTTCACATATTAATATGTTTCAATTTAATGTTTACCAGAAAACTATCTTGCAATTACCTAATAATGAGCTACGACTAGACTCTGATTTGATAATAGATGTATTAAACTGATAAGGTTTGATATCAATTGTAGCATAGTGCACGGTCATCATTGAAGAAGAATAATACAAAAAAAAATAGAATAAAAAAAAAACTATGCTCATTTCGAAAAGCACATCAAAGAACACCTATGCGAAAACAAAATGGCGACAATTCCAATGCATACGTTGTTCAACTTACTTGGCGACATTGAGTCCTCTGAAGAATTTTGCAATATCTTGGTCGCTGCTTTGCCAGGGTAATCCTCTTGCTCTTACCACACAGTTGCTGTCTATTTCATCGTCCTTCGAACTGAAACAGAAAATATCCACTTAAATAACTTGAAAATAATTGTTTTTTAATCGTTTCTACGAAACGACTGTTTCATTAGCCACGACTCAGTGGTACGAATAAAATGAACAACAATAAACATATCTCCATATTTTGATACATTGTGCCATGTCCAGTTTTGATAACATCCATGTCATGAAAACAAGATTATTCTTCATTCCATACCAATCAAAACCAAAAGATTCAGACTCATTAATTAATCTGTTATTTATTTATGAACATTCTTGTTCATTTAATACAATGATCCTATACCGAAAAAAAAACGACTTTCGTTAAATATCCAGTACTTACACCAAAATTCTTAACAAGTCCAAATTAGTAGAAATAATATAATGTACAATACAACATTAAAAAGGTAATTTCAAATAAAACAATGGAAACTATAAAATAAAGCAAATCAATAAATTTGAAAAGTTTAATCAACGCTTGTATAGTTGAAATAATATGCGATTAGGGCGATGCAAACATCTATGCGTGTGTGTGTTTGTTTTTTTTTGTTATATATTCAAGAGCTTCCACGTGTAATAGTTTTTTTTACCTTAACTAACGTAATCCTTCAAATAAAATAACGCAAGCTGTTTTCCACCGTAGCACAATTATGAAATAATGAACTGGCCGTCGCACTTATTTAGTTATCTATGGATTTTCCAATTGACCATCCAGCTTGTTTTCTTCTCGATTCTACAAATCGTTCTCGCTATTTCTTCTCTTTCTTTTTTTTTTCGTTGATTTGCGGCAATCGCAAATCGAGTATTTCGAAATGGGATGGAGAACGCGTCGAAAACCTATCGGTTCAAAAGCGCAACTCGCGCTCGCGTCAGGTTTTGTTTCTTTTTTCTGTACTTCTACGACAGCATTTAGTTTTCGTTTATCGGTCGGTCATGGAATATATTAAAATTATCAAAAACCGTGCCGATAGTGTTTCTTCGGCGGGGGTGGGGAGGGTGGAGAGGGGAAGGCATACGTACGATTGGTACCGTTCAATACATATATACCCATGCACGATAAGAAGCAGCAGATAAGGACGATAACATGTTTTAAGTTCACTGAAAACAGTTTTAAGAAGTCACCGGAGAAAAAGAAAGCAACTTTTGAATCGTGAAACGTTTCGAGTGTTGCCTAATGATGATAACTCTCCTAATCTACCGCTTCCTTCGACAATTTAGAGAGTTTACTTAGATGATTCTATTAGATAATTTGGATTAGTTGTACTCAACACTTGAATGCAAGAATCAATATTTTTAAATCATTGCAGGTGGACAATTGACAAAATATTAGATTTCACATAGATATATTAATTTAGTGTTTAACATAACATTGTTTACATAATACACAATATAGTGTTGACCCACAAAGAATTTTATTGATTTCATTAGATTAGAAAGAGTAGATGCCGGACTACCACTAATGGTATAGTGATTAATTTAAGGTAGTTATAACCATACAGAAGTTTCAAAGGTTATAGTTAATATACAAAGGACCGCGCAATTTAAGCCCTTCATTGTTAAATGTTCGGCGGCAATGAACAAGGAAAGTTGCACAAAACTTTTCCATTATTACAACCAGAAATCAAATATCCACGCATTTTATCATCATATTAATTACCTTGAATATAATTATAATATTTGTATTAGGGCTAATTGTATAATTTGATTTTAATAGCTTTTTTTAAATAATTAACTATTTAAGGTTTACAAATATAGTTATGAGAATGAAAAAAAAATCCAATTTGATATTCAAAACTTATCAGCTAGAAAAGTGTTATATAAGTAATGTACCTATAGATTTGATTTAGATAGCTTATCTGTATTGAATTGCTGCATCCTGTTGTGTTATCGATTTTAGTTTCAAAAGTATACTTAAAAGTGGATATATGTATACTATAAATAATTATAATAATTTCTTCAGCAAAAAAGTCATTGTTTTTAAATATGTACAAGATATTTTATGTTACTTTTAATAATGATTAAAATTGAAAATTGATAATATAAATAATAATGTAAAACAATAATAATGATCAAACAATAGTTTATTAAACAAACGCAAATATTGTGATAAGAAAATACAGCAATATATGGCTGAACGCATAATAGGAGAAATTTTATGTTAAGTTTCCATTACAGAAAATAATTTATGATCAAATTTAATAATAATAATAATAATGTGTTGTCTGTTGTAAGTGAAACTTCAAAGTATGGAAGGTACCTTCTAGACAGGTCGTGTAAGACACTGAACGGAAGTTACTGAACGCTAGTAAACAATAAATTGTATTACTTTCAAGGATGTTTATGAATATTACACGTATATAATATCAAACGAACAAGTATTGGAATTACGAAGAAGTAGACGGATTACAAATGCCCTTTAGTATAAACTGAATACTCGTTAATGGTAATCGCTGACTAAGATAACTTTATCTCGTCGCACCGGTTAAAAAAACTCACCATATTCCAGGCTCCAAAACAAGAGCGATGTTCTCTGGCAAATCGAATTTGTGCCCTGAAAATGAAAGAGACAAGAAAATCAAATACGTAATTACTTCGCATTACAGCGAATGAAAACAAAAATCTGCTGATTCTGTTTGTTTGTTTGATTTTTTTCAGCAGGAAATGTTTATATCTTGCAATTAAACTGAAATAGAACGAAAGAAAGCAATTTGATATTTACCTTCCTTAATTAGTTTTTGTACAATGTTGACCATATCCTTAGCTTCGCTCTTGTAGAATTCATTTTCTGTCTCCGGATTCAGCTCTAAACCTGTACACACCTTTGTTAAGGAAGAATTACTCATTAAGCATGTTATGTGCATGAATGCAATGTTATCGTTATTCGACGCACTCGAAATGCATTCACAGGTGAATTAAACACCTACATCAGCATTTAAAAAAAAAAATATAAATTTGTGCGAATATTGTTTTTCGTCGGCATTCCGCAGCACAATATTTTTTGTTTATATCATAGTTATTTCAGCAGAATCCGATAATATTTTAATCGCTCTAATGTGAGTGTCTGCATTCGATAAGAATACTGTCATCTGTTTGCAACTGTTGAAGTTCAAACGTTCAGCAATCTCAGCGACAGATGGAACCTCTCCGGATCATAAAGTATACAAATTTGCTGAGCAAACAAACAGTACATTGATTAATCAACAAAATTTCTTAAAATTAATCCACTTCAACAATGCAAATCGCTTTTCGTCAAATGACAATTTATAAAACAAACAACGGTTGTTGTCTTTATTCTACATTTCCAAATATTTTAAAGCATAATAAGAAATAGATAATATCTTCAAATCTTTCACTGATTTCACATAACGCTTCAAGATTATTCAATTGTGTAGGATTTAAATAATCCATTATGTTATAATTCATACTAATATTTCAGAATTGATTCAGTTAGAAATGTTTAAAAGTATTTATATGGTAAAATCCATATCTGATTATTATTCCAATTAACTTAACTATATAAATAATTATCATGATTTCTCTAAGACTACTCGAGAATGTATTAAAATAATTATTTATTAAGAAATTACTGAAAATCACTTGGTTAATGAAATATATTAGAAATGATATTATTAAAATCTTTGTAATTGTGTGTTTAGAGCGTTGAAGTATGAACTAACATTTTAAATAAAAAATTGCTGTTCCGCTAAAAATTGTTCATAATTAGAAGAATATAGCTGGCTAGTTGAACAAGGAGTTCCGGTAAATAAGCAAACAAAATTACACGGAAAGTGTTCGATATTACATGTGCATTAAATACACAATGGAATGCAACTTCTTTGTTCCAAAGAAATTTTCGTGTTCGATTTTTGCCACATTTCTCGTGCAATGTTTTTCACGCCATGGCAATTACCCGCTTTGCACTAAATCTCATCTACTTGTTTTATATTCATCTATTTCTTTTTGTTGAAATGTTTGTTTGTTCTGACGAAAATCAATTAATTGCTGCTCGGTAGATAATAAAAATACGGATTCGCAGTGAGCCAATCTTAATTGCAAAAAAGACATCAAATAAAATGAATGAAAGCAAAGAAATCGGAAAATGTCGTTAAAAGATTTTAAGTTTCCTACTTTCAAAGTCGTGAGAATGCATATAAATTTGCATACTGCAATAATTAGTAATCCAATTACAGGTAGGCTGCAAGAAGGAAGTTCGCTTAATGATAACTTCCGTCCATTTCAAAAAGGAAGCGTCCAATAATAATGTTGATTGTGTTTAAAAATTAAAAAAAAAAAGAAGAAAAGGATACAGCTCAGCATGTCGGTGATGTTCTGCGGCATTTCGTCGTTTTTTCCGGCGAATCGACTGGCATCCTTCCTGAGATCATGGAAGGTGGTGTAGTAGAAAGGCAGTTCGATCTCTTTCCTGCACGCCTCTGGATGTAGACATTGCCTGAGAGGCAGTTGTCCATCCGTTATCAACCGGAAACCAGGATTGTGTGGATCTATGTGCAGACTGTTGCAGTAGGCGTCGAACTCGGAAATCGCATTGTCCAGCAAACGACCCGACGATTTGATCAGTTCATCCGTGAGACCGGAATCCGTGGTCAATGGTTCCAATAAAATTGTGTCTTCGGAATCCGCAGACAACGGCCTAATCGGGTACTGCTGGACACCAACAATCTAAAACATAACAATAAAATAATTAATAATTTAAACATCAATCAACTCTGAAATATTATTGTTCTTTACAATAGTATATTTAATATCTTCATTATTTTTTAATGTACAGTGGAACCTCGCTTAACGAACAAAATGAATTTTAAGAAAAAAGACTCGCTTAACGCGCAACGTTTCGCATAACGTGTGACGATGTTTTATAACTTATGTTTTTTTAATAAGTTACGAATTAAACTCGTTCCACTGTGCTTTGTTTATTAGTTACTTTGGATTTTCGAAATTCAAACAGGTATTAAATAATCATAAGAACTTGTTTGCATTCATGTAAATTAAACGAGTTCCTGTAAAGTTTATTGCAAAACGAGATTGTTAAAGTTATAATGGTAATCTTATGTGAATATGTTGTTTCAAATTTGATCGATATGATTAAAACATATTTAACTTTAAATTTATTAATCAAATTAAATGAGTAAACTTTCTATAATGTTAATTTGAACATATTCTTGAGAATCATTGCATGATTGGTTGCCTATCGATTGTTATAATAAAATTGCAATTATAAGAGAATAAGTGTGCTGGGGATAGCAAAAACCTACAAATCATATTAATTATATGAAACTAGTTAATATTTTTATATTATTAAGTTTAAATAATGTGTAAATATAATTAATATTGACTATTCAATAACATCTTAGTATTTGCAAATCTTACACAATTATCGTTTATTAATTAACTCTATTATGATCGGTACTGCAAGATATTAAAAGAAAAAAAATAGCGAAAGCAATAAATCTACTTGATAACAGCTTAACTATCCAACGACGTAAATATTTCAAATAACATGATTTACGTTTTGAACTTGTTTCACTAAGCATTCCAATTGTTTGTTACGAAATTTCTCACATATAGAAATAGAATAATAATGATAAAATAATGAACGAATAAAAGTATAGGACGTTATATATATATAAAGAGAAACAAAAGTTGTTTGTTACCGCTGAAACAAGCGTACGTCAAACGAACAGAAAGTAGTTGAAACATTAATTATGCGAAATGAAATTAGCTTATAGAGCGCGTTTCGAGCTTCACGCGTGCGTCCTTGAGCTTTCCACTGCAATTTACTTGTATAATTGCGAATAGAAATGCTAACCGGTAATTGTGCAATCAATAAGTGTATGATATGATAAGTCATAAATATAAATATTGGAGGAGATCGTAAAGCGAATATTATTGTTGCGTAGACTTGCATTTCATGCTGACGCATATTATGTACAATGTTACGGGAGACATAGTTTTTTTTTAACATGGGTGCGGACCCGATGATGTATTTAACATTTCAAAATTTAACCGCAATCAAGTTTTATTGATCATTGCAACATTTCCTTCCACAAATTCCTTCCATACGCACACTCTTCTAATACAACGACACACTTTATACTTGTGCAACAAAAAATATACTTTTTTTTTTGTTATTTATTTCTAAAACATTGTCCATTCATATTCTGGTAGATTGTATTTTTTTTTCTCTTTAGACTTTTAACAATGTTTCAGGCAATTACCATTAACATACTTGTAAAAGCAATAAAGTATTTGGTCATTTATGTTATAAACGAGCAGAATCGCGTGACACCGAATGTTCAGCTTTCATTTATGCAAGTGGTACAATTTTCCCATATAAATGCGTTCGTCGAGATTTAGTAAATTTCTTAGCCAACTTCAGTTTTTAACAATTAAATGTGTAGTAATAATATTTATCTCTCTGATTTCAAAACGAATAAATCTCATTTAATTTAGTAATTATAAAACTATAGAATAATGTAGATAGAAAAAAAAAACCAGGCATGAACCACTAAAAATATGCGACCTATCTTTTGTATAAACGAATGTCCATGACTTTTAAGTTTCACGTAATATGTATTAAAAATTTGACAAATCATATAACAATGCAGATTGAGATAAGCTTAGATAGAATATATAAACAATAACTGATAAACTATTAATATATTTATAATTATAAGAGCGATTTTTCTTCCATCCTTGTTAAATTTAAAATGTATTGTTTTGACGTTAAAACTTACAGTTTCGTATTATTAATATGAAAATAGAATGTTTTAATGCATCTTATTCATCGTTCATAATACATGCATTCGCACAAATAACATTTATTTTCAGTTTCGTGCACATTGTCTGCTGTGTCACCGTGAAGGTTATCCGTCGTACATGCATTTCAGAAAACCTCGAAACGAAATTCGTGTACAAATAATTCATATTTTACGACTTTGCTACAATGATTTACATAAGAGTATTTTCTTTAATAAATCCCGATTAATTAAGTTGAAATTGCGTAAAAAAAAGTATTAAAATTTTCCGCCATATGCATATGTGTATACTTGTTTTTTTTTTAAACAGATGCAATCGTATCAAGCTTAATACACAATTGTGTTTACCATCAGTCGGTGCATACTAATAGCAGGAAGTTGCGCCCTACCGGAACTCTCACGAGCTTTATAACATATTCAACCCCGCATTGGAAACAATCGCCATTCAAGCGATCGCGTTTGTTTTTCGTCCATTTCATGGATTCCTTATTATCATGGGCAGCCCATTCATTCAATGCGTCCTGATGTTTTATTTAAAACCGGCATCTCGTCTCTTCCAAATTTATTTGCTGGATGGACGCAATTTACACCCGAGTCACGTTCCTAAACATATTATGTGAAGAAGGGACGAAGCAAGAAACGATTACTAAAATCAAATACCTCTTGAGTTACATTCTATTTTTATTTCATTAGTTAATCTTTGCCTGGTTAAGTTTTGTATCATATAAATTAACAAGAATTAAAAGAAAAGAAAAAGTAAGTGAAAATTAGTTAAATTCATAAAATTAATTTTGATCTTTCATTGAAGAATTCAGAAAAATTTAAAAATTGGATTTTAATTCTGTCAAAAAACAACAAGACAGATATGAATGTTCGTCAATGAATGACAGTAAAATCGAACTGTCTTCTTCTTCAATTGCACACTGTACTATGTATATATCCGATTTTTATCCAAAAATAATTCATCTTATGTCGCAAAAAGTGTGTATGCAGCAACATTTAACAAATCTAACAATAATTTTCCAATGAAAACACATCATATTCAACACTAGATGGCGCTGCTCCTTGAATATTCAAAGTATTTGTATGCATGAATTAATAACGTCTTAGATAGTCCTTGATTTAAACAACGTGAGTTTCCTTGAATACAAGAAGATATTTTTTTTATATTCGCTTACATTTTTTTTTTGAAAAAAAAAGTGTACGCACGAGCATGTTTCTTTTGAGTTTGTTACGCCACCGTGTATCATTAGTACAAATTGAAATACTCGAAGGCCAGAAGAGAACTACGCTTCGCAGCCCACCGAGGACTAAAGAATATTTCTGTTTTTTTTTTTCTTAATTAATTGCTGTATACTAAATTATTATTATAATTATTTCTATATTATGAAGCGTATCCTTTAATTGGTCCTTTAATAATCTCTTTCAAAATGCTTTTAGAAGAGGTTACATAAAAAAAAATATATATCTGAAAAGAACACGTGACACATATTGCCAATAGCGAGATACATTTGAAAGTTTCTTTTTTATTTTAATTTTGTTTCTAATCCTCCATCTCCTTATACGCGTTGCGTAATAAAAAACCAATTTCAGTTCTTTGCACTCTCCTTGAACCACGCGCGCTTATTTCGCAATTCCACCAATCGGCGCATTGCAAAACACATTTTTGCGTGCTAATTGGTACTGAGCAGCAGCAGCAGCAATAATAACAACAGAAGATTTAAAAAAAAAAAGAAACATGCTGTCTTCGGCGTGGCGTGTTTTTGTTGTTGTTGGTGTGGTGTTGCTGGCGGGTTTTCTGCTGGTGAGAAATCTCTATGAGTCTGTGTACCCACGACCGAAGAATCTAATTTTCTAGGCAGTTTCCTCACACGCCATTGTTCCTCGTTCTGCTGGTTGAAGCCAATTAAAAAATCTTTCTAGACACAGTTATCTTCTCCAGACTATGCACAATACATTTGATCTTCCTTCTTTCGTATAATCCAATCCAATTTTATTATTTTTATCTCAAGTAAGAACTTATTACGAAAATGTAATAATCAATATATTCTTTTATTCAAGTCGTCACCAAAATAACTTGAATATTGTAACTAAACTTGTTGCTAGGTAGAAAATTTTCCAGACCCATTACAAAATGTGTGAGTAAATAATAGAATTATTTATTAATATTGGGTAAAATGTATTTCCAAAATAATAATAAAAAAAAATACAATAAGTAATTTTAAATATTGAAACTGGGTTGCTATAGGATTGCAATTTCCCATAGTTATGAATAGTGAAAAAGAAAACTACATGTCACGTGAAGTTTCTCCATAATTCACCTAGATTCTAGAGAAATTAATAGAAAATATGTATGGAAGCATGTAAATTTTATAAATTCGTATTTAATGTAATTTTTACAAGTTTTATACTTGTTAACCCAAATAGCAATACCTATATTAATAATAATACATAGTATTTCGAGGATCCAGTAATTTTATTTTGTAGGTTAATACCGTAATCAATTTTCTAACTTTTCACATTAAATTTAAAATTTGAAATAAAAATATTTACAATGAAAAAAAAACCAACAACATACTTTGACACAAGAAACCTAAAGCTGAATTCAAATTCCTCACTAAAACACTTCTGTTAAGTATACATTTTATACAAAAAAAGTATCTATTATCATGATAAAATTGTACTTATCATGATAGAAGAAAGATCTAAAATTAAATCTGACTGATGCAAATTAAAAAAGTAGCATTGAGTGGTTTCTTAATTGTTGACTGCAAAAGACGCCATGCTGAGATGAAGAAGACTTGACCCGTTTGATAGAATTTAAATTACTAAGCGTTTATGACCATCTTAGTGATATATAAGAGAAGTATTAAACAGTACTTAGCATTTACAGTTAACCGTTTATTAAATACTGTTGCACATCAGAACCATACTTGATGCTCATAATTGGAATTATCACGAAGGAAGTGTCTGTGAGATGGTGATAATTCGCCGCTGATGAACTTCCCTGAACCCTGAAACCTAACTGTTCAGTTGCTCTGCAATGTTCCAGAATGCGCGTCCGTGCATTTAACTTTGATTATAGCAATTTTCGCTGCAACAAAAACGATCTGCTCATGTGGCTCGTGCCAAACACCAAATTCGGCTATCCAGAATTATGTCCATTATTCCAACGAGTGGTAGTCATTAGGTGCGCTGAGTCATCCGCAACGAAAGGATTTTTATGGACAGGACGAATGTGTTACGCGTGCTGCACACACGCATCCTTGACTCCTTACTGAAAATGCATCTATACAGAGATGCGATCTCCTACACATTTGGATTCATTAATTATAAGTTGCTAAGTTATACGCTTCTTTTGAACCAGTCGACAATTGTTTGTATCGATTCGACTGGTCTCCGAATTTGAATTGAATGATACGGACCTTAAGACACGTGGGTTCTACTTTCAATGAGATTTTTTTTCATTATTTACATACACACAGGTGCATTGTACTGCAATTTATTAATTGAAATTCTTAGATGTTTATTCTAGACTTTTAATTACTTTTTAATTGTCAGCAAACTTAAGTCAATGTTCAATACTAAAATACATGCTACTATAATAACAAGAAGAACTACAGTTTTAATGTAATTTAATAATGTTAGTAATATGGAAATATTGAAAAATCCAATGAATAAATCTAAACTAGACTTTTTTTCCTTAGCGATTTTCAATGGATGATTAAAGATAGTTTTTGTTTTTTCATCTTCTTCCCATCAGTATTTTATTCAACAATTGTTAATTCCTCTTCGTCTTTGCAACACATGGAGTTCAGCAATGCTTCACCACCTGTTGCTTATTAAAGCGAAATGGCTTTTGTAACTCGGGAATTTAACTGTAAAGAAAAGAAGTGGCAGAGAAGGAAACAGAAAAAAAAAGAGGCAACAACAACTACGCAACGACGGAGCAACAGATTGCTGATGAATAGAGAGTTGCAACTGAAATTATCGCGAGGAACGTGGAAAATGTGCATCTTTGAAGAAGATCTTGAAGCAATTAGTCGAATGCGAGGTACAGATTTAACGGTGCAAGTGCCCGAACCGAATCTCACGATAATTCGTTTCCTATTAAGGAATTACCAAACTTGTTTGAGAGTTAAAAGAGTTGATGCCAACGTGGATGGAATAGAAGTCAAGAACCTTCGGACGAGATGATGATACAAAAAAATATATAAACGTGGACACGTTTGACTCGATTCGTCGCAAATCGAAGACATTCACTGAATGATTTAATGTTTTTAGTTTAATTGATTAAACTAGATTCACATTTACTGGAATATACATAATAATGTTTAGTTTATTCAACCAAAAAATGAAAAAAAAGAAAACGCTCTACAAAGTTAGAGAATTTATTTGCATAATTATTTCTAAATTTAAATTGTATTAGGAATATTTGACCCAATAGGGTTAAAAGGTAAACGCGATGATCGGGAATTCAAATGAAGCGTCGTCCTTCGTACGCAAACTTAAGAAATATTTGAATAAAGGTGAAACCTTTAACCATTATATGTAAAATATGGAAATTCTCGTATTGTTTTCAATTATTCATATTCTTTGCTCGAATAGCGTATTGTTATTTCTATTCCTCTGTCTGCTCGCAACACCGTGTCTTCCATTCCACCTCACTTGGAACAGCTTTAATTAAAATCATTTCCCTTAAATTGTTTAATCACTTCAAATTTACTTTGATTGCATTGCGCTCATTTCCATATTTTTTTTAAACTCTAATTACTATATTTTTATTGAAAATTCTCATCAAACATGGTTATTAAATTCATAAACAAACAATTTTACATACATCTAATAATTGTGAAACAAAAAAAAAACTAGTCGAGAACTTTGACCGTGGCGTCAATCGGTAAACAAACCAATCAAGAAAACCCGTATTTTCTAAGCTGAGCAAAAGAAAAAAGCCTTTCCAAGTACTTGCGTATGGAAAAACAACGTTTTTTATATCTTTGCACTTTGAATCTCAACAAGTTGCACATAATTGTTAAATTATGCAATCTAAGTGTTTGCTATTATATTTGTTAATATTTATCATAAACCTTAACACCGAAAAGCTTTTACATAAGGCGACGGTAGTTTCGTAAAGGAAAATGTAATTAATCGAGCATAAGTGATTTCAATCAGCGGTCAAGCTACAAACTTAATTAATTAATTGATCTGCGTTCTTTTCGCAATAAAATTTCGTCCGAATATCCATAATTTATTTTTTAACGAATTTTCGGTTTCTATCTGATTTCTGTATAATTTTGGAATAATTAGCATCCATTTATATAAATATATATGTATATGAAAACTGGTTTTTGGTGTCGTCACTTGAGAGAGGGGCGCATTAAACGAGGCGAATCTATTGGAAAATTTCTGAGAACTTTGATTCGGCCATTAAAACTTCATGTTTATAACATTTATGCAACGAATATAATTTCAATATCATTCACTATTAAAAAATATATATATATATATAAATATTACAATAAAACACAAACACGTTTTATTTATTGCGCACTAACTTAAATAATTATAGTTATTACAGTCAAAATAAATTACACATTAAAATTATATATATATAGCTCAGATAACCTTAGAAGTAATAGATTTAATTAACATGAACAAATTTACAATTTATTGCAAATACAGGTAAAAAAAAATAGATGACAAATCTTGTTCATAGAATAATTCAATTTCATGCTGAGATGGGTGGGAAAAGTGACGCATGTTGTGAAATTACTACAGTCAATTAAAAATTTAATAACCAAATGTTTCTTAAGAATTTGCAGTACAAAAAATATGTATGTTAATTGTCTAAAGTTTCAACATTTTAGTTGGACTGTAAAATCAAATAACAACAACAATAAAATGGTTATAGTTTATACAGTAATGGTTGTTTCCACCATTGATTATTGACTTGATTACGTTCTTGAATAAGTTGAAAATAGATGAATATTACTAGTTTATTACTTTGTAAAATTTCTCGGTATACAGACATTAGTAAAAAAGAAATATACTTTAAACATAAATGTAAAATTCTCATTGTATCTATTATATACTATTTTTTTCACTTATAATTATTACTTAACACTACTTCTTCATAAAAATATATTTTTTTAAGTTTAAATGTAAGAAACAACGATTCAAAATAAGTAAGATATGAAAATTGAAATATTCTGAAAATTAATATTTAAAAAAAATGCATTTCAACAGTTTTATTCTGTTCAACTTTTCTAAATATTATATTTATAACATGTATAATATTCCAGGTATTTGTTAAAACTTGTTTAATATTGAAGTAATGTTTATTTTTAGTATAGCAAATAAATACAAGCTTCTAGTTGTTGCTTAATATTTTGTTAACCGAATGGAATTCAAATGCAAATAATTTTAAAACATTGTTAATGTATGAAATATAAGAAATTTAATGAAAAAATAACATGTTATGCATTATTTTGTTGAAGTTCTAATTCTATTTTTTATTGGTCACAATTATAAGCAAAGGGAATATATTTTTATATAATTAAATATAGAATAGAAGCTTCGTTAAAACCACGTGAAGTTAAATCTATTTTATGCTAGACTTATGGTAAAATTATGTGATTTTTGTTGTTGTTGTATAGACAGTGTCAATATTTGTACGTTCTGTTACATTTTGGGGTTGATATATAAGAAGTTGCTTAGTTTTGCAAACATTTTATTGCGATTGGCGCGTAATGAAGAGAGAACAATTTCCTTCTCAAGTAACATACATAGGAGGACATTAGCATAAAAGGTTGGGCGTAGTTGGACGAGTTGTAAATATATATATATATAAAATGGTCGTGTCTGAAAATTCCAACTGTCTTCTTACCTTATTCTGCATAACATCGACGATGACGTATATCAATAGGACAATCTCTTGCTCATCGGAACCCATCAGCGGTCCCTGCAGCCCGGCGGTTGCGACGTACAGCACACAGACGTGATGGGGCCCAATCATGTTCAGGCCCTTGATGCTCATTTATGCACCTCTCGCAATGAGTGGAAAATGATGGCAATAACGACGAAATCTTTGCGAAACGTTCGTTTCGGGTTCCAGTCCGGCAACAGGTGGCTCACGAATCCATGCTCTTAAGTGAAATATAAACACACAAGGCTCGCCTCTCTCAGTCCGCCATATTGCCACGCAATTCACTTTCAAATTTTTATTTATTGTATACTTTTCATCCGTACAACAACATAAAAAAAATAAATAAAAATACACGAATCTAGCAAAGATTCAGCAGAAGAAAATTCCGTCAATGCAATAGATACGGGACGACAGCAACCCCATGCGCGATTCCTACACGAAAGTCTACTGTTTGCACGGCGTATCAGACCTCTTATCTATCAATTTTATATAATCACAGTTGTAGCTTATATATATATTAATATAAATACAAGTTGAATTTGCTTTAAATTTACTTATAGAAAAATATACATTTATTTATCACAATGTCGTTACGTATGAAGGCTAGTGTAAATTACTCAGATTGTTGCTCTTTTTTGGTCTATTTGGTTAAAAAATTTGCACGAACTCGCACTCGCAGAAAACAGCATTTAATCGTCACAGAAACACTAAATCACAATTTGCAATTGATTACAAACAAAGTCGTACTCTCGGACATTCGATCAGCAGGTATCGCGTAGTCTAATTGCTCGGATAACAACAGCCCCACGTTTTATTTATTTCTATTTAAATTTCCTTCCTGTTGCTTTTGATGATTTATTTATTTTTTTTCACTTGCAATATCTCTCTGTATATCTGTGTACTGTTTCTTCTACTGATGTTCCCTGTGACAGGTTTCACGTGCGGCAGATCCGTTTTCTGTTGGGGAAATGCGATTTTCTCGAGTGCACGTTTCGAACTGTACACAGGTACACAAGTATTTCGTAGCCTCAATTTTACCGTGAACTAAACGCAGGGGCCGCGATACTGGTTCTACCTGAACCGTGCACACCAATCGGAGAGAAGGGTACCTGTACAGGTACACTCGCGTCCATAACTGTAATCACATATATACTAGTTATATAACATGAGAGATCCGTCAAAATTGTTGCCGCTGCGCTGCGAAGTTTCTTTCGTTCCTCCGATCATTTCATTCATTTATTATTTTATACACAATTTTCCATTAAAACTAAATTATTTAAATACATCAATCGTACTACAAAAACGTCAATTTCTTTTTATTTTTTCACAAAATACGTTCAACTAACAAATTCATGATTCCTATTTAAAAAAAAACTATATATAAAAAAAACAACATGCAACAACTTTATCTAGAAAGTATTATAATTGAGGAAATACTTTATTTCATGTTTGGAAGAAATACAATTTTGAATCTCTATATAAATAGAAAATTATCTATAAATAATAGTAATAAACATATTTTAATGCATGTAAGCTAAGTGTAAGTTGATTTCTTAAAGAATACGTTTTAAATTATACATAATTCAGTATAAAAAGTTTAAGAAATTCCGTTTACATAATTTCTTATTCAATTATTTTACCATTAGTTTGATTTCTTTTATTTTGACCCTGCAGTCATAACATTCTTTGGAGGTTATGTACAAGAAATTTGCAATTTTACTATGGTCAAATGCAAAACAAATCATCTCATTACCTATTATATTATCAGAAATGTACTAAAAACTATACGAAACAAAATATACGAATTTAAAAATATATAATAATTAAAAGAAAATGTATCATATCAAATATTTTAACTACAAAAACTACCTAAAACTTAACATTTGCAGACAATACTATGAATGTTACTACAATCTAAATGTCTATTCAACAATTATGTTCACTAATTAATTTCAATATAAATTCATTTGAAAACATGAAAATAAATATTATATCAAAATAATTCTTGATCTAATACATAAATATATTTTAAACTAATTTATTTATGTATATAATTTGAGCTTTGGTTTACCAATCAACATTCTCAAATTATTAAATAAAAATAAATAAAATTAGAAGTTTATATTTTGATTGAATCTATGAAATCACATGCATCAATATTAAATAAGTTATCTCATTTATTGAGCAAATATTCGATAATTCTTTGATACAATTAATAGATGTATTCTTGTATGAATTAATTTATTTGTGAATGAATTGTGCCTGCGTTTAAGCATTAATCTGCAATGCGAAATACGCACATCAATTAGTGTTCACAGGTGGTTCATAAAGCTACATTCAATGTCAATTCTGCTTAGACATTTCATTGTACGCTCATTGTTTTATACTGATAATGTTTGTAAGTACAAATCATTGATTCGATCCATTTATGATTTAATACAGACTGTATACTTGTCCATTTCAGAATGCACCAGTTATTCCGAATTTTAGTAGCAAAACGACACTTCTCAAAGACACATTTTTATTATCACGATCTTTATCTCACTCAACAGATTAACTAAAACTGTAATCTCATACAGATACGGAGCAGTTGCACTCTATACACATTAAAATCTGAGTTGTATATGATGACAATTTTTCATTCATTTCTACTTGAAAACATATTATATTCTCCATTAAGTTTATTTTTTTATATAATATATTAAAATATTTAAATTTAATTTCACTAACTTAAATAGTCAAAAAAAATATAAGTTAATCAAATTTTTATATTTTTTATTAGTTGTATTATATTAAAAGATTGAGAATCATAGATTTAAACTATAATTTGTAAATTATTACTGAAAATTCTGATTATACGCTCAGATGATAAATTGAAATATTTCATAAACATAAACAATTACTTATGAATGCTCTCATTACAATAGTTTCAGTTTCGTATTTCTCTGATACGCGGCAAGCAACAGTTAGCATGAAATTAATGCGCGTCTGTAATATCCAATTTGATAGTATGATCGTTACGAAACGGTACAAAAGGGATTGGCACTCGCTTTACAGCCGGTTCAGTTAATGCTCGCTGGTTGGCACCGCATTTCTTGCCCTTGAGAAGACGCACAAATATCCACCCCTTGAGTATTTCAACCGAGGGGAAATATTACAGCTTGCATCCATCCTCATCTTTGCATTTTCATTACCTCCGAGATGAATACAAAAATTATTCAAACTCGTTATTATAAATATGAATCGCTTCGCATTCTGTGCGGGAATCAGAATTAATCACTTTTAAACTAAATATTGCGTAACGAATTATTGCCTTATCGTTGCTCTCCGTAAAACTGCTATGTTTGTTCTGAATGAGCATTAATCAGTTCATGGAGCATTCGTTTTGAATTCGATTTATTATACTTGTTAATATGTTTCCAGTAAAAAAATAATATAATAAAATGAACACAGAGAGAAACAGCAACGAACACCTCTCTAATTCTTAAACCTTGGTTGTACATACTTTCATCGAGTATTGAACGCTGCACGGGTATTAGTAATACCAATTTGCACATGTAATTAAAATAGTTGAATTATTGTATTATATCTTACACATGATTTATCGAGCAATTAAGAATTTTTTTATTTTAAGTATAAATTACAGATTTCAGAAAAAAATCATTATCAATTAAAACGGGTTATCTTATTTGCAAACCAATTAATCCATACGGAAATATTATCGTCAATTAATATGATTAAATTGGATCACCAAATATAATTAATTATTTGGAAAGAAAAATTACACCCTTAATGTAATGATCACATCAGCAACATGAATTAAAAAAAAATCTTCTAAAAATCTTGTATATGTTTATATATTGAGGCTAATATTGCGTTTAAATAAATTATCAAGACAAAAATTAAGACAGATTTAGTTATTTTACTAAAAAAATATAAAAGTTATGCAACGTAAATCGAATATATTTTTACAACTAGTAAGAAATAATATTACCAAATGACTCAGTTTCATGAAGATGTATAATCAACATTTGATTATAAATATAAACTTTCTTATGAATTTAGTCGTTGAAAGAAATCATTAAATATTTTCAAAAATATACAGGTATAAATACGAATTATCATCCTTAAATCATGGATATTGTAAAAGTACTTTAGATTTTATTGTTATTACCTAGACATAAGTATTTACAACATTAGTTGGAGACAGACAGGGTCGCAGCAAAGAAATCTTGCGCCACTGACAAAAGTGGTTAAATTTTCATTTCAAGAAAACCTTATTGCGTCTGGGTCCGTCGCCCCCTCCTGGTTGGAGCATATCACATTTATTGCTTAAGATTTAAGTCTTAAAACGTCTTTAATTTAATTATTTTTTGAGTCTACTTTAATGACATCTCGTAAATTATACTGTTATATTTTAGAATATTTAAAATCATTTTTTTTTAATATTATAGACTTACAACCAATCAAATCTATGTTAAAGTAATCACGTTTTAATAGTAATAAAATGGGTATTATCTAAGTTAACTCCAGCATGTTAACAATTTATAACTTAGACTGAACATTGTAATAATAGTTAAAAAAAAAAGTAATTGTTAGGAAATTAAAAAGAAAACAATAAAATATAATATTTTCGAAATCGTTACAAAACTATAAATAGACATTAATAAAAAAAATCTTTAAGTTTGATTATTAAAATTATTACACTGCATTTTTCATTTATATGTATCATTATTTTTGTATATATTTAGGTGCTAAAAAATTGAAATTTTATACAGTGGAACTTCGCTTAACGAGCATAATTTATTGTAAGAAAAATGACTCGCTTAACGAGCGACGTTTCGCATAACGAGTGACGATGAGAAGAGATGTTTTTAAAACTTGTATATACATATGTGTATTTTTCAATATGTTTCACTATACGAGAAAAAATCCGGAAATTTTGAAACAGATTAAAATCGTTAAGCAAGGTTCGACTGTATTACTTAATGAATGAATATTTCATTGAATTCACGAAAATATATCAGTGTAAAATGCTGAAATATAATTGCTAAATGAACAGACTTTCAGCATTTCCCAAGAGCGTTGCATTAACAAATGGACTATTGCATTATAAAGTTTCATATTTAGGTAATCTACGTACGATTTCCAATTGCAAGCAACAAAGAAAGTTGAGTGCAAATACACGGAAAATTGTTGATAACGACTATTAGAAACATAAAACTGAATCTTTTTAAATATTTTTGTGAACCGCATAATATTCAGATTGAAAATCCTACTCGACCCTGTTTCTGTGTAGTTTTTTTCATTGTGGGTTTATTTTTTTTGTTACGAGCAGTAAAATTGGATTTGATGGGAGCCAGTTTCGTGAATATTCTTAATTTTAACGAATTCCAATGTGCGGTGTATATAAATGGAAAAGGGAAAGGAGCTTGTGAATGTGTAATGTAATGTACGTTGCATGCTCGAGTGCTTGGATATGTACGTTTTTCTGCCATACGAAAGATGATTACGGGGCACGTGAAATTCTGGTTTTAATTTAACACCAGTACGTACAAGCATAAATAAAATGGAACTTCGTTCTCTCTGGTATTTTTTTGTTGTTGTTATTGTTGTTTCATTCCGTGTATTTCATTCCATCTAGCGTACACACAAACACATTTTCCTTTTGTATCTATGGAGGAGCAGGTGAATACACTTGTAATGCATTTGCGGCAGGTACCTGCATAGCTGCGAAGGTCAGACGAATACACATACAATTTCAAAACCCTACGCACGCACTACTGAGCAGCAGCAGAAGCAACAGCCCTTTGAAGTAATAACTGATTCATAATTAAATTTATTCCATATTCATCCATTCATCCTGCTGCTCTTTCCAAATACTGTACGTTCATCATTCCGTCCATCATTTGACATGTATTCCTTTCTGCTAGCAAAGTAAAAATATCACGTGAATTCTGAACATTGCTCGGATAAATTTTATATTTTCCTTGAATTACCACTCATTTTATATCACCTTCACAAACATGTCGACTATATCCGCAAATACATATTCCTTATTGTTTATAATTATTATTAGTTCAACTGTGTTTCTCATAGCTTAGTATTTTATACATGTTCGACTATTTGTT